GGGGGGGGGCTGTCAGCCGGAAGGTCCTCCTTCCAAGCCTTTGCGTTTGCTCGACTTATGGGCGAATCGATGGCTTTATCCAGAGGAGCTCGAAGGTCAGCGAGGAGGCGACAGACCCGAAATGACAGGAGCGCGTCTGCGTGCCCGACGTTCGTATTGTGTTGCAGGCGTGAAGATGGCGGGAGACGGTGTACACCCTGTTGTGGCAGGTCGGATTCCACGATTGTCAAGTCCATACAGACGGACGGTGTCTGCCTCCCTTGCATGTGTAAAGGTGTCTGTCTGTCTGTCTCTCTCTCTCTTGCCTGCAGACACTTATGACGGCTCTGAACACCAACCAGGATCCTTTCAGAGACGCGGCCTAACAGAGGCCTACAGATTCCCCCCTGATGCTTCCAGTTACTGGCAAAAACAGTGAGCCTGTGTGGATGTGGGCGCGTCCGTAATGACATTGTTACGACTTTGTACATATCGATGTCAATCAGTGAGTTAACACTCCCAATCAGATCAAATAATTGCGTGTGGTCACTCATTCGTTTCTTTCAACGAGTCAGTTGAGCATCCATCCATCCATCCCACTGATGCTGATGCATGCACTGCACTGCACGCATATGGTATGCGCGGACATAAGCCTGAGTCACTCACTCATATCCCTCCCTCCCACTATTGAGTGCAGTGCACTCACTCATCGCTTCTTGCCCTTGCTCTTCCTGTTCATGTCGATCCTGGCTCTGCCCCGCTTGTCACTCTTGAGTCGCCGGTCGACCACCGTCACGTTTCCTTTGGCTGCCTTGCTCTTCCTCCCGTCGCCCTTGCCCTGTGCCACTGTGCCACCGCCACTCCTCCTGCATGTCATAGAACGCAACCGACGGGGAGACAGACAAAGCCGACAGACAGACAGGCAGCACCCAGTCAGTCATCATGTACGCACGCTTGGAGAATGTCCAGCTTTCTGCCCCCTACCGCGATACGATGTAGGTCTTCGGTTTCCGTCTCTCCTCTGACAGACGGGGCCGCACACAAGTTACGTAGGTAGCTCGACATGGATGCTGTCTCAGACTATAGTGCATGCATTACCTCCTCTGGCCTTCTTCATGAGTTTCTCGATCGACCGAGCTTTTGATCCCTCAGTGAGCTCCTGCGATTCCGCAATGCTGAACAAGAGAGGACACCAGAGACAGTGTCGCAGATGTTCTCGGCCAGTCCCTCCCTTACCTCTGAGCCTGTTTCTTGACCTTCTCCATTCGTTTCTTGGCGCGAGCCCTCTTTCGCGCTTGCGCCTCAGCAACCTGAGCAGAGGATGCGTGCAAGAAATGCGTGGAATCCAACCATTTATCATCAATCGATGATTGATGAGGGCGCGACTCACCTTGCGGATGGGTCGTGAGTTGATGTCCTTGAGCTTCTGGCGGAACTGTGCCATGTACTCCTTGGACACTGGCAGCTCAGGCTTGTTGTGCATCTGTTCATCTTCGTGGAACCTACACACACACACACACACAGCGAAGTTGACCGAGCCGGCATTGAGTGAAGACATGCACGCGTACCAGGTCGGCAGAGCTGTGTCATCGAATGCATATCGATGGTAGGCGCCATCGATAAGGTCCATTCTGCTCTTCTTGTGCACCATGAGTGAGCCGAGTGCCTGGATCTCTGCCAGCTCGTCTTGGTCCTTGGGCCCCACAACCTCCTCTGCAGGGACCTCCTCGAACTCGTCAGCCTTGTCGTCGTCGATCGGACCATCCGCCTCGCCACGCAAGCGCCTCGCTGCCTGCTGTGCCGCCTTCTTGGCTGCCTCCCTCTTCTTCTTGAGCTGCCACAGAAAGGTAACAAATGAACAAACAGCGTGTGACAGGCAGCAGATGGTGGATGGATGTGGGGTGATCGATCTGACCTGTCTTTTCTTCTTCTCGGGCAGGGGAATGTATGGGAGGTCCTCGTCTGGTACCTCCCTAATGCCATCCTCATCTGTGACGCCCATCTCATCGTCAACACTCCGCTTCCTCTTCCTCGCAACACGGGCGTCTCCAGCATCCTCCGTCGAAATGCTGCAGGCCCAAGCATGCACATACGCACATTTAGCGCGGTGAGCATCGATGGGGCTATCTCCCTTTTGATTCCCGCTCTGACCTCTTGAAGAGATCATGGGAGTACCAGCGGTCGGCCGCCATGCCCTCCCTGTGCTGCTTATCTCGTGACACATCTGCCTCGGCTGCAGCATCTTCATCCCCAGCGCCACTGCCATCGTGCCGCAACTCATCCTCGTCACTGTCATCTTGCATGACTTGGTCCGCCCTCTCTCTCTCGGCCGCCATGTCGAGCTGGGAACTGAACTGTCGCATCTCACTGACACACAAGTCCACAGACGCAAGAGACACGGAGATAGAAGGCCATCGGCGCGGATGTCACACTAAGCCAGTCGACCTACTCGGCCCATTGAGCGGTAACGCGCTGTCGACGAGTTGCCCGCTCCTTGCTCCTGTCCTTTGCTCCACGTAGGATCTTCTCGTCCCGCTGCGCTGCATGAGACTCCTCCATCTCTTGCTCTAATCTGCAACCAAGCAGCACAGTGTGGTGGGCCGATTGGTGCAGATGCGATGGGACAGTCGGCACCTGGTGACATAGTCGCTGTCGTCCTGCTCCTCACCCTCCGCTTTTGCATCGGGATGGACGTCGTCTGCCTCGTCCTCATATATACCATCCGGTGCGTCCTGCGAAGCGCAACGAACGGCCCCGAGAAAACCATGGTCACGTTGTGTCCTTTGGCCGGAACGATTTGGCTGGGAGATGCTTACTAACCGGCGGCGCTTCTTCCAGTGCCTCCTGCGTCTCGGGCCTGAGCGAGAAGAGCTCCTGGTCGTCGATCGACCCGCCGGCCTTGTCAACAGCACTGAGGGACATCTTCTTGCGCCAGGCCAGCTTCTTCTCTTTCTCTTTCTGCTTGCGCCGCTCGGCTCGCTCGTGTCGGTACTGGGACTCGAGGAGAGCTTCCAGCTCCTGCATCAATGCACCAACACGGAGTTGTTCGTCAGCACTCGCTGGGCTGCTCTGGTCGCTGGAAGTGTGGAACCCACCTTGTCGACCCTGTCTGCACTCTCTTCGTCTTCCTGGTCGACCTCTTCCTCTTCTGGACACACGCCCTCTTCTGCGAGGCCAGAAGAGCAACCAACGTGTTGGGTTTCCGTAGTCCATCGGTGTGTGTGAGTGTGTATCTATCTATCTACCTTGCAGTTCTGCTTCTGCCTCAACGAGGGCTTGCTTTGCAGCTTTCCGCCTCTCTCGATCGGCTTTCTCTTTCTCCCTGACGAGCCTCAGGCGCCACTTCATCAGGTGGGTCATGTCTCGTTTGCCCAGCACCTGAAGCCAGAGCACAGCACAACCGACTCAGCCCCGCTGGATAGCGCATCGAGCGCACACTTTTCGTGCACGTATACCCCCACCCTACCTTAAGGTCGTCACAAAGGGCGCGAATCTCATCGGTCGTCAGCTCATGGTCACGAATGTCGTCGCACTCTGGAGACGTGAACAGCAGCTTGTGAGATGACACAAGTATGGACGCGGGGCTCGACGAGTCAATGAACTCCTGCCCACATATGCAGTCGGCTGGAGGTACTAAAGGCGCAGGCAGTGCTCTCTCTGACCGACCTTGACAGTCACAGTGCGAAAGTCGTCTCCCTCCTCGTAGCCAGCTCTGTTCCGTTTGCCCTTTTGTTTGATCAGGTCAGCCAGGGATGTCCTACCCGCCCCCTCGCGGCCCTTGCCCTCGGATGCAGTGGCGTCGTCCTTGTTCTTGTCTGCGTCTCCCACATCCATGAAGACGAATCTAGCGTCGAAGAATTTGGGGTCGATCTTGGCAGGCGCCTTGAAGCCGAGGCAGAGGACGTAGATCTCGGCGCTCACGGCTCTGCTCGCCTGTGGCTTCGTGGCGTCTACGCGACGAAAGAGCTGATGAAACACCCAAAGGAGGGAGTTGTAGTCAGACGACCTGAGCACACGGCCAGCACACAGCACAGCAAAAGGGACGCCAAGAGAGTGTGGATGAATTCATGAATCCACAACGCAGGAGGACGTTCGCCATTTGCTCGTGTGCGCACCTGAACACCTTGGTGATGAAGGTCCCGTTTGGCTTGAGGAACTCGCAGGCCAACTTGAAGGCCTGGAGAACCAGCTCGTTCTGGGCGTATGCGTCCAGTGCCCAAGATGTCCCCACATTCGGCGCACCATCGTGGAGGACAACGTCAGCCTGTACAAAGGGATTGCTGCCCTTAGATGTGAGTGTGAATGAGTCCTCCGTGTGAATGATTCCTTACCTTTTGCTGGCCTAGTTCCTTCTTAAGCATCTGACGGCACTTCGCCGTGGTGATGTCCGCCTGCAAGGTTGCACATCCTTTGATCGGCTTGATAGGCACCAAGTCCACGCCTATAATGGTCGACGCCACGGGCATGTTCTTCTCGGCAACCTGAACGAAAACACTCGCTGTATCAGTGTGGACGACTCTCATACGTCAGGCACCCTTGCTTGCCCACCTGCATCCATCCTCCTGGCGCCGCGCAGAGGTCGATACACACGGTTGCACTTGAGAGAAAGTCGTGCTTCTTCGCCAACTGGATCAGCTTGAACGCCGATCTGGCACGGTACCCTGACGAATGAAGAGGACATGGAGCCAAGAGACGAGCAAAGGTGGCCATTCATCCATTGATTCACTCGACAAGCACCTTGATCTTTGGCGAGGGAGTACCATTTGTCGAGGCGTTCTGGACAGACAGGCATGCACACACAAAGCTCCACTGTGTCAGCGCTCTGTTCTGTGATTCCAGACAGGGTACCTTTGCCTGTTTTCTTCTTCGTCATCGTCAATGGGGTGAGGGATCGACATATTCAAGCTCGCACGAGAGGGAGGCCGATCCCCCCCTTCTCTGTGTGTGGCAGACTCTTTCCGGCGGGCCAGTCGCGTGCCTTCTCTGAGGCGTTCGTTCGTTCCTGGAGAAGTGCCACATTCATATCGTGTGCATTCAAATCAGTAGCGAGTGTCGCGCTTGCGGATCTCGTTCTGTTCTGCCTCGGAACTTGCCCGGCCTCACACGGTTGACGCCATAGACAAGACGCGGTGTGGCCAAGCGCGAAGCAAGCATGTCCATCGTCCCACTTGAGTCAGGTACGCAGACCTCGCTTCGACCACCAACCGCCCCAAGCGCCCCAAGCTCAGTGCTTGTCTGACGCACGCTCTTTCAGGATGGCGGACCCTCAACGAGAACGGCATCAGGGTGCTCGAGGAGTACCTGGATACCGGGAAGACTCGAGAGGTCGCCGGTGGTTCGTCGAACTCATCTGCTGCTGCTGCAGGGGACGCACGCAAATGTGCCATCTTCACAAGGGCCGAGTACTCAGAGATGTACACGTGAGTGCCAGATGGAGGACAGGGCGAGGTGCATCACTGGTGCCGCACTGCTCTCCTCTTGCCCCTACAGGACGGTCTATAACATGTGTACGCAGCGGACACCCAACAACTGGTCAGAGCAGCTATACAAGCGGTATGGGGAGTCTATCTCGAAATACGTGAAGGAGAAGGTAAATGAGGTGCACACGGCAATCAATCACTGGAGTACGCACTGATGCCCCCATCGCTATGCCTGCTGTAGATTTTGCCGGCGCTCAAGCAGCGTGAAGACGTCTACCTGCTTCAGGAGCTGTTGAAACGCTGGGAGAACCACAAGATGTACATCAAGTGGATGGATCGCTTCTTCACGTACCTGGTACGTCAGCTGGCATGGCCTATCCTTTCCATTTGCTTACTGGAGTGCTGATTCACGCTTGGCTGCAGGACCGATACTACGTCAAGCTGCAGAGCGTCGAGCCTTTGCATCAGCGTGGGATTTCCATCTTCTACCAACTCGTGAGACACCCATTCGTAGACGCACCTCAGATCACCTTAGCTGCTGGCTTATCCGGTTTCAGGTGTTCGAGGAGGTGAAGAAAGATGTACGAAACGCCATCCTGGCGTGCATCAACCGAGAGCGCACAGGTTGACAAGCGCCCTTGCCAGCGAGAAGCCCACAGAGCATACATATGCGTCCAACTGTGTTTCATTGCAGGGGACAAGATCGACCAGGAGCTGATCAAGGGTATAGACACTCATTACTCTGACCCAAGCTCATCCTTAGTGTGAAACCATGTTACCGACATGTACAGGCGTTATCGACATGTACATTGGACTCGGAAACGGCAGTCTGGACGTAAGCCCAATCCACTGAACATCCCGTGTGTACACCTAAGTGTTCTATGGTCGTTCGCCCACAGGTGTACACACGGGAGTTTGAGGTGAGCCGTATTCTACTGCCCAATCATGCATGTAATCGGCATCTTGGCCTCTGTAGGAGCAATTCCTGCCCGCAAGTCAAGAACACTTCACACGGCAGTCGTCTGGATGGATCTCGGAGGACAGTTTTCCCGAATACCTGCGGAAAGTGGAGGTATGAAAGAGGGCAGTCGCCTTTCCATCCAAGCACAGTAGTTCCGTCCACTTGCAGGAGGCATTAAAGTCAGAAGAGGATCGCGTCAACCGGTACCTCCACAGGTGAGCATGATGGAATTGGAGACTGGGAAACTAAAAGAGACGCTGCTTCATGCCAGGTCCACTAACGTCAAGCTGAAGAGCGTCGTCATACAAGCACTTCTAGCGCAGCCACAGATGCGTCTGCTGGTCAGTAGAGCTGAAACGTCCAATCTTGGTACTTGATCCCAATCTGTTGGGGTTTACGCTGCAATTGCGGGCAATTAGGAGAAAGAGACGTCGCTGTCGTTCCTGTTGTCCAATGACAAGACCGAGGTACAGAGTCGCGTTGCTTCCCTCTTGAAACGAATTAACGCGTCGCGTCCTGTCTGTGCCAGGACATGACGAGAATGCACAGACTCTTCTCGCTGGTCGAGGATGGTATGGCAGGCAGTGAAGCAGACCGAACAGGCACATTACCCTTTGATCCTGATCGGGGCTCTTATCAGGGCTGGCGCCTGTGGCCAAGCAGTTCTGCGAGTATGTCAAGGGTCGCGGCACGGCGGTGGTCGACGAGAAGGTGGAGCAACTCAAGAACGCCACCAAAGCAGACGTTTCGGTACGCACAATCCACCCCTTGGAAGAAGAACAAGTGAGAAAAACAGATATCTGATCTATTTGATCTTTTACATTGTGTATCAGGACCCATCCTTCATCCAGAGCATGCTGGTGAGCCCGAAGCACGTTTCTCGCAGGGCTTGAGTCATTTTCACTTGACAAACGCTCGTCACAGGATCTGCATGACAAGCATAAGTCCACGGTCACAGAGTGCTTCGGATCCGATTCAATTTTCCAGAAGGCTCTGAAAGAAGGTAACCATGGGGGAGAACTCGTCGATTGACCCTGGGTGATGACTTTCATCACCTCGCATTCGTTCACCTGTTCAGCGTTTGAGACGTTCATCAATCAGGAGGTCGGCAAGTACTCGTTTGCGCAACTGATGTCAACGTTCTGCGACCGTATCCTTCGCAAGTCTGGTAAGGCGGTTGCGATGGTAGTGTGGCGTGAGTCATCGTGAGTGTCCCCTCGATCAGGTGACAAGTTGTCTGAGGAACAAGTTGAGACATCGCTCAACAAGATCGTTGAGCTGTTCTCATATTTGACGGACAAGGATCTGTTCGCAGACATCTACAGGTTTTCCCATTGGCACGCGACAGCTGTCTCTTCATGAAAGCTCCCGCCCGTCTTCTGACAGGAACCAGCTGGCGAAGCGCTTGTTGTACGAGACCAGCGCCTCCGATGACGCGGAACGAAGCATGATCGCAAAGCTGAAGTTGAAGTGAGCAACGTGAAAATCGTCTTCAAGAAACCAATGCAATTTTTATGCGTGGTTGCAGATGCGGTGCACAGTTCACGTCGAAGCTGGAGGGCATGATCACCGACCTGTCCCTAGCAGCTGTGAGAAGGATGCGATGGGTCCCAGCTGTGCACACTGGCAATCTTTGCCACTATCTGTGGCTTCTAATCCCACAGGAGACGCAGCGGGAGTTTCAGGACCACTGCAACCAACTCAACGACAAAAACGCGGCCCTCGGCGGGATTGACTTCCAGGTAAGTGTAGCCCCTGTCTCGGCCCAGGTGGCGCATGCAGGCGTGGAGGCGTGGAGGCGTTCGTTGCTGTGGCTCTTCCTGCAGGTCCAAGTTCTGACGACGGGCTATTGGCCCTCTTACCAGACTCACGATGTAAGGCACGCTGCAAATCCAGCACATCTTCACCACGCACCACGGCACAATCCTTCACGTGCTTGCGCCGGGGTGACTGGTCACTCATGTGCAGGTCACACTTGCGCCGGAGATGCAAAAGGTAAAGTTGGACCGTTGAGGTCTCGGTCTCGTCGCCATTTCCGTATATGCGCCTTCGTTCTTTTCATTCAGGCGATGGGCGTCTTTCACACGTTCTACGCAGGTGGGGAAAAAGCTTCCTTGTCACGTGTTCCCTCACCACTGTTCGTTCCTCTCCTTGATGCAGTCAAAACACAGCACCGCCGACTGACTTGGTAAATCAACAGAAGGGTTCCTTGCCATTGAGAATTACCTCATTTTTTCCCTTCTGTCTGGACAGGATTCACACGCTAGGTATACACAAGCATGGACCCATCCCGCTTCACGCAGTAAGAAAATTTGTTTTGTATCCTTTGCAGGATCGGCTGTAGTCAGTGCCCATTTGCAAAAACGCCACGATCTTATCACAAACAGGTGACGTTGTGCACCTTTCGCCTGACTTTCCGGACACCTGTGCCACGCTGCTACAAATGCAGCTACCAGGCGTGCATCCTGCTCCTCTTCAAGACACACGAGACGCTGTCGTTCGAGATGATCACCAAGCTGCTGAAGATCGACGAATCATTCGCCAAGAAGCTGGTGGCGACGCTGAGTTTTGGCAAGTTCAAGATTCTGGTGAAGGCTGACCCCGACAACTCAGATCAGAAATCGGTACATATGTCCGCTGATCAGCAAACACTCAAACACTTCTCCCTCACACCGGCTCCATGGCTCAACAGATAAGTGCAGAGGACGTATTCAAGCCGAACGATAACTTTCAGTGTCCCCACAGAAAGCTGAAGATACCGGCACCTACCTTCGAAGAAACTCACAATCGCGGTACGCCCCCGAACTTGCAGTCACAAGCAATGATAAACTTTGTTTCTTTGGTTGCACGGCAGAACGCGTCGAGGAGGTTATATTCAGACTCTATAAGCGCTGTTGCCGTAATAACGCTCAGTTTGTCTTTTTCTCGATGTTCGTCCTTAGGATCGGTCTATTGCGATCGAAGCTGCAATCGTGCGCATCATGAAAGCACGGAAGGTACACCCCGCTCTTTCAACGTTTCCAGATTGACCGGAAAGTACTATCTATGGCCCTTCTTTCTTCTCTGTCTGCAGACACTCGGCCACCAGCAGTTGGTGACTGAAGTTCTGCAGCAGCTGAGGTAGACGACATTTTTGAAAGTTCTGCTTGAGTTTTACTTCTCTCCCTGACGTTTCTGGCCGACAGTTTCTTCCGTCCGAACCCAAAAGTTGTGAAGCAGCGCATTGAGCACCTTATCGAGGTAGACAAAGGAAGATGAAGCAAGACACTCACATTCTCACTCCTGGAAACATGTCCTTTATCTTACCTATATCTTCTCCGCGTCCACAGCGAGAGTATCTCGAGCGGGGAGAGCAGGTGAAGATAGAATTGTCTTCTACTGTGCGTAGATGACTCCCAATGCTGTGTATGTTTCTGAGCAGGCGAACCAGTACCGATACCTCGCGTAGCGGTCTGCAACGGCAACGGTTGTCTCCGATGGTTGTCTGACGCGTAGGGGCAGTGGTCGGCAGTGTAGAGTTGTTCTGCTCCGTGAGATGTCTGAAGCTTTCGTGACAGCGATACGTTTTTTATCCTTTCGTGCTGCTTGTTAACAACCCAGACTTATTGACAGATGGTTACAGCGGATCACTGTAATATCGATAAATCGGCAGGATCAAAATCGCGCGTCCGACAAGCCTTACTTCTACAGTGCGAATTGTATGGGAGCAGGACGTTCTCTTCTTGCCCTTTTCGCGACCTGTGCGAGCAAACGCTTCAAGTCTGACGAGCTGAGCCCCCTCGCTGTGTCTTCAATCTCTCTCTTCGCGTCCTCGCTTCGGAGCCGTTGCAGAAATGCCCTTTTCGCTTGTTCATCTGGTCCAAGCGAAAGCCAGTCGTACCATCGAACACGTCTCACATTCCATCCGAGGTCGCTCAAAATACTGCGAACGAAGACAGCACAGCCAAGACCTGCATCGATCAACCCTGAACTGCACTGCATCACTGACCGGTGATGCAGTTTCTTCACTTCCAGATACTCCGTCGAGGACGTGTAGAAGCTAGATGGCCCATCAACAAACCAGCAGTTGTTCCTATATTTAAGAAAATGCAGGTAAGTTTTTCATACACAAGACCTGTCGTCAACTTCCCCGATGCACGGACCTGTCGTCAACCTCCCCGATGTCAATCCAATAGCACCCCCACCTGGGTGGAAGAGAAGGTCTGTACACCGAAAAGGACGCGGTGATACGGCTCTACCTGAACGTGTTTCGGTGAGCGACCCCTAGCTTCACCAGGTCGTTCGACACTTCCCAATGGAATGCAGACGGGAACCGGGGCCGTTGATAAATCCTCCTAAGACTGTAACGCAACAAAATGGCACCACACAGCAGTTCGCGTCGACATTATTGTTGCTCTGGGCCCCCACCTGAGCCTGACATAGAAAGCGCGGGTTGCGGCCGGTAGTGCCTCCCAGATGTCTGGAAACAAGACTCTGAGCGCTACCGCGCATCTATACGCCTGCAAATAATGCTGAGGTCTTGCTGCCGGGTGCGCTCTGGATGAAGAAGACGCAAACGGTACAAAAGATCTTGTACGTCTGGCGATCTGCGGACCGGCGAAACCTCTCCATGATGTACTTCTTGGCGTCGTTGTCGTACAGCTGGCATAGGCTTACATCGCTGATGACCTCGCGAAAATCAGTCGCAAACGTCCTTTCCCACTTAGGGATGAGCTCGCTCGATAGTTTCTGCGCCAAAGAAGGATTCTTCAAGCCCTGCAACGTAAAACGACGAGAGGACAGGGCGTACCATTGATGTATGCTGCCATTACCATCTTCGCATAAATGTTGGATATTCTGATAATGTCTGCTGGCCGCATAGAGTCCATCTTGCTCAATGCCGTGTCCATAATCTAGAATGAAGGGCAGGGCAATCTCGATAATCGACTTCAGAGAATAGCGTCCTGGTGGCCTTCTACCTTTTCCATTAGTTCGGGCTCTTTAATTTGGACCCTTTGAAACGCCCACGCGATAATCATCAGTGGATGAGACCAGAAGTCAGGCAGAAGCTTAGAAATATGGGGGACGAGGTCGCGATACAGTCCCTCGTGAAGGAATCTCGCCTTTCCGAATCTGCAGACGGGAAAAGGGATGAAATCTACCGCGCCGAATTTCTTTCACTCTTAGAGAATACCCATAGAGAATATAGCCAAGCTGTTCTGGGTTAAGCGAGGGAGCGATTTCTCTGACGCGCCTGGAATAGCCGTACCATAGCCGCACGTCGTGCTTCCGGTTGGATGCAGCCTTTTGGCAACAAGCGGCGATGTACTGCCCGTCCATTGCCGCTGAATCAGCAGTCAAAACGACGGGCAGGTTCATTCTATATGCCCGGACTCTGCAGTAAAAGAACAGGCTGTCACTTTCCTGAGGTGCATGCAGCGTCGTCTGCCTTCCGACCTCTTTTGCGTCCAGCTGCGAAACCTTTTGTGCATGTGCTTTGCATGCCTCTTGAAATGCGACTCTCTCCTGCAGAAAGGCGAAGGGACACACATGCTCGTCTTTGTTTGTCCCTGTCATTACCTGATTGCAGACAGGACAGTGGCCTTAAAAAAACACGACGACACGACGAAAACACAGGGAAATTGGGGACTCGTGCATTGCAGTAAGCACTCGACAGGCACTCTCTGGAGCGTACGTACCTCCCTCGGGCGGATGTACACCATTGTAGAGAATCTGTGAGCCTAGATTTCGAGTTGCACGAAGTCAATAATGAAACAACCAACCATGAGTGATTCACGATGGTATGCCTATGAGTGAGCCCACCGGCCAATGGAGCAACACTCATATTGGTTTTATCGCCCTGGCGCACCTTTTCCTTGTTTGATCGACGATCCACTGGCGCGCTTTCTCGGGTTTTCGCTTGCTGCTTTTGATCTGCTATTGCGTCCTGTTGCCTGCCTGAGCAGCTACAGGTCAGCAGCAGTGACATAAGAACGCGGATCTTCAGCGGATCTTTAGCGTTTCCAGCGAGACGCCTGTATGCCAGATCTGCTTCACTCATGATTTGGGCATTCCTATTGGGAGCATGCCTTGGTCAGCTTGCAGCTGGATTCCGCATTCCAATTGCCTACAAGGACCGCTTTCGGCTCTCTTTAGTGGGCTCCCTATCCGGAGGTGAACGCACTTCGAGCATTGGTCTGCCAAGAACAATTGGGTGGTGTGTGTTCTGTCAGGAGTGCATAGGTCGTCCCGCCGTTTTGCTCTGGATGAGAAGACTGCTGTGCTTGACGTTGATGTGGTAGCCGGCGAGCAAGCATCCGATAAGCCACCAGCCGCCCCTCAAGAGGAGAAGCCGAGGGCAAAGGGTCCAGCACCCCCAGCGCGCAAGCCTGGGGTCTTCGCGCGTCTTCGGTCTTTCGTCAGCCGGGATCGAAGGGGCGGCGCATCACGAGAAGACACCATGTCCTCACAGGACACGGCTGGTGTGCTCGACAAGGCATCTGACGCACCTGTTGTCGGTGGGCTGATTGCGAGTGCGGTGACGGCCACCAAGACTGGCGTTGAGATCGCGAAGGAGGATAAGCAGGATTATGAGCCGCAGAGTTCCGTCGCCAATGACACTGAGCTGCTTCGGCCCCGGCTGAACGACTCTGGTGCAACTGTTGATGCGCCGTCAGCCGACAATGAGACCAGCGAAATGGTGGGCATTGCGGTGAGCGGGGAGTCTGCTGCTCCACCTGTGGAGCCCACCGAGCAGGAGACCACGCAGGCCCCCTCCCTCACTGAGGCGACGCCCGCCCAACAGACTCCCACGTTGCAGCCGTCTGCCGCGCCGCTTTCGGCGTCACTGCCTCCGGAAGAGAGAGCCCCTGTTCTGCAAACTGAGCAGCCAGTGCCAGAAGTGGAGCCTCAAACGACCAGCTTACCTGCACCCGTAGTCGTGAGGGAGGGAAGAGGTACAACCGCACACACAGGCAGCACGTGTTGTTTTGTGTCACCATGAATCTTTGCTTCCTGTGTTGCATGCTGATCATGCATGCAGAGAAGGAGGCTGTCACTGCTCCTCCCCCTGTGGCCTCGACAGCGCCACCTCCCAGGAAGGAGGAAGTGGTGCCGCAGGAGGGGCCGACGGCAGAGGAAATCGTGAGCGCAGTCACCTCTATCGTTGGTTCCATTGGCTCAAAGGTCAAGTCTTCAGTCAGCCAGGCCATACAAGAGGGAGCTTCCCCCAAGAAGCCGCCTTCCCAACCAAGCCCGGCGCTGAAAGCTCTCCTCGAAGCGCGAGGTAAGATCCAGTGTGCTGCCACGTGTGCGCAAGTGGCTGCGGGTTAGCAGTTATGTGCCATCTGTCTGTCTGCTGTATCTGTGTTGCCTTAGCAGATACCCCCTCCCCTGGAACAACCCCTCCTCCCGCCCAGAAAGAGCAAGAGGGCCCCCTTAGCCTCCTCAGCCTGCCAAGAGCTGCGACCAAAGCCGCACCCACGGACCGTCCGGTGACCAAGGTGCCTCAGCCAAGTGGGTTCAATTTCACAGCGGTTCTCGGTCCCTTGGACAAAATGCTCAAGCAGCAGCCTCCATCCGCTCCTGGGACAAAAGCACCGCCCACCGCACCGCCTTCACGGAAGACGGCCGCAGTGACTCCTACGCCACCTGGAAAGGAGAGCCAGAAAGGAGCCGGCTCTGCCTTCCCCGGTTTTTCCCTCCCCTCCGGACTCTCCATACCCCGTTTGCCGGTGAGTCAATCACACCCTGACAAGCACAACTGCACGCGTCGTGCACTGCATCAGCTCCTCGATCATTGCAATGCGCATGTATGCGATGATTGTTCTTTCTTGGGTTTTGCTACCTGTCGATGTCCCTGTCTCCCTCCCTGGTGTGCACGCAGGCTGCGGTGAAGCAAGACACTGCTGCTCCACCGAAGCCCAAGGCGTCAAAGCCAGCGACGCCCAAGCCGACGGCAGCTCCGCCGAAAGGCGATCAGCCGTCTGCTGGTAGCGTTCTGTCGGCTTTGTTTGGTCTGTCACCTTCGAAGCGGCCGGTGCGGGGGGGTCGAGCCATTCCCCTACGGCTCAACGGCATGGATGGGAGCTTCTTCGAGTCTGCGGTGTCTCTTCTCAACAATGATGCGGCCAAGATCAGGACGTTCCAACAAATCACAGACAGGTGAGGAGGGGCAAACTCGGGTACGTACGTACGCGTACGTACAAGACCGCACGAGAGTGTGCGCCTGTGGCCCTACGCTCATCCTGTGTGCTCCTTTAAGCTTTCGGAGCAACCAGATGAGTGCCGATCGCTTCAGTGCCAGGGTCAAGGAGCTGTTTGGCTCGAACTATGGGTGAGGAAGGTAGTGTCGTCGAGAGCACAGAGTCGCGTCCTATGTCTCGCTCCCCACCTTGTCTTGGCTTGTCCTACTGTCCAGGAAAATCATCGAGCCTCTAATGCGCCAGCTGCCTGAGCCCGCCAAGAGGAAACAGCTGGAACTTGCCTACAACAAAGCCAGAAAGTCGACTGACAGAGCGGCCAAGCTGCAGCCGCCGCAGCAGCAGCAGTTCAACTTGACGGCCTTGTTCAGCCCGATCCTGAGTCCCGCGTCACGTGCACTTGCCCCCAAGCCCCCTGCAGCTAGGGCAGCGTCCCCATCAGTGCCGAGGGCGCCTCCTCCCCCCCCACCAAAGAGAGCCGCTGTGAGGCCACCTTCAGCTGCTACAAGACCTATCTCGCCTCCGCCCGTCAGTCTCCTCCCGTCGTCTCTCTCTCTGCCCGGCTCGAAGGCTGCTGCCGTGGGAAGTGCCACCACCGTGGATCAGCTGCTAGATGTCGGGCTGAAGGAGTCGCAGAAGTCCCTGGTGCGGGCCAGACTGACACAGTATGCACGTGGAGGTGGGACAGCCAAGGGATTTGCTGAAGTGCTGCGGACAGCCTACAGTGACGTCCCTGGATCCACCCGGCGATCGGCGATCCGTCAGTTCTCCAAGCTCGAGAGCCTGTCGCCAGCCAAGAGACAGGCGCTGGAGCAGGCCATAGCAGCACTCAAAGGCATCTAGAGAGACAGATAGATGGTAGATGACCCACACAACAGTCTATGAATGAATGAATGACTCATTCGTTGGGTGCACGAGGCGGAGGGCCGGCTGTAGCTGTGCAGTAGGCGTGTCTTGTGTATGTAAGTAAGTAGAGGTACCTACCTGTGAGAGAGGATTTTTGCGGTGTGGTGGAGATTTTTCCATGCTTTCGTGAATGAATTGACCCATGCAAGCAAGGGGAAATAAGTTTTGTGGATGTGTCTTCGCGCGGCAGAGAGACGGAGACAATGGCCGTGTAGTACAAATCAAAAGAATAGATTGGTACGAATGAACGACTTCACTGTCCGCGGCATGTATGGCAGGGAACGGCAGAACCGACGTAGGGCGCGTACGGACACCAGTGTCGGAACAAGAACGGTAGGGTCACAATGCTATTGCACTCGTGCCTTGAGGTCAACTTCTGCTTCTGCCCTTGAAGTGCCGAGCTAAGTGACAGTGTGAAGACTGCTGCTTGACCGACAGACCTCTGTAATGTGAGGACGCCGTGTATTTCCGGTAGTTAAACCAGCATGGGGCTGGCATGAACGATAACGTGGGTACAAAGGAATGGACGTACGGATGAGAGGTGGGTGGACATGATGAATGAATGAACAAACGGATGGACTCGTAGTGGCATTGCGTCCCACGCGTATTGATGTATGTATGCAATCCCCCACGTGTTCCGATAAATGAAGCACGACACAACATTCATTGATTGCATCAACAGGACTTCCACCACGGCAGCACACACACACACACACACACTCACTCACACGCACACGCACACGGAGACATGCACATCACATACTCAGTCTTCGTCCCGACGAGCTCGGAACGAATGCAATGCTTAATTCTCTCCAGTCAGTTCGTTCAAAATTCGACAAACCCAGACACGCACATGAGTGGCAAAACACTTGAAACTCCCATCAGTCCATCCAGAAACGCAAGCAAACAAACATACACCCACACATATATATTCCTGCATGATCGAACCCTCTGCCGGCCTCTGTCTGTCTGTCTGTCTGCATCGACCTTCCCTGCGCTTGAGCCCCTGTGCGTATGAATGAATGAATGAATGAATACACTGAATGTATGTGGTGTGTGTCAGTCAGTCAGTCCCCATCCATGTGGACTGCCCGCTGGTTGACCAGCGTGAGTGCATTAGAGTTTGTCCAGGTAGTTGTCGAGTGTGGGGATGTCCTCCTTGATGTTCTTGCGTTTGCGGATGTTCTTGACGAGCTCCTCCGTCTTGCCGCCCTTGTCGAGCGGGTCACCCTGCAGGATGGCCCAGTGGTCGAACACACACTGCGGGAACGCCTGGCCACTCGTCGCCGCACGCAACGCCGTCGTGAAACCTGTAGACAGACAGACAGACAGACGGCACGACACAGGCCGCGCCGCAGATGGGACAGTGGCTGACTGACAAGACCTGTGTGTGTATGTTCTGACCGAATGACTCAGCGACTGGGAGGTATGCCTTGATTTCGATGAGTGGTGTGCCGGTTCGCTGCTCCTCGTAGAAGACATGGCCACGACGCTGGTTGAGAGTGCCGTAGATACCACCAACCGCGTCCTGGGGAGTCAGTCAGTCAGTCGATACACATCAAACACAGTAATACACACATACATGCATGCGTGATGCGGATCGGTATTGCATTGCAGCGCAGAGAGAGACATATACATGGCATGCAGTGGGCCCGGCCTGGCCTGAGGGTGCGGATGGGATGCCTGCGCAGCGTACGCACCTGTGGGCATGTAATGTCGACAAGGAAGATGGGCTCCAGCAGACGCGGAGCTGCCGTCAACTCAGCAGCGTAACACACACGACGCATAGTGGGCGTGATCTGACCCGCACCCCTGACACACACACACACACACACAGCCAGCCAGCCAGCCAGACAGGCAGGCGGGCAGAGACGGCAGGCGAGGACCGTGTATTCAGAGCAGGGTTAGTGATTCGTTGTGTCGTGCGTGCCTATGGAGACCCGTGCGTGTGAACGTACCTGTGGATGGCGTCAGTGTGCAGAACGACATCGAGGATGTTAAATCGGATGCCGCGCATGTTCTCCTCGCACAGCACACCCTCCTTGGTCGCCCACTGGATCGCGCTGTTGCAGTGGTCCTTGATCTCATTCAAATAGGCAATACCTTCACACACACACACACACACAGTGTCTTGGCTATCTTCTCTGTATTCCCTCCCTCCCTCCTTCCTTCCTTCACTCCCTCCCTCCCTCCTTGACTCCCTCTCTCGCTCCTGCCTGGCTTCCTGGGTGCGCCCGCCCTCCCACCCTTTGTCTGATCGATGAGGACATTGGCGCCAGTCGTCTCGGGTCCGAAGCACCAGATCTTGAGGGCATCGTTCTTGTCCTGGCGTGACCGATAGGCAGACAAGTAAGAGACAGGGTCGTGATAATCAAGCCCGGCTTGTGCTTCATTGCTGTCCTGCTTCGTTCCTTCGTTGCAATGCCATATGTACGTACGATCTTACCCAGTCGTATTTGTCCGAGAGCACCTTGGCTCGCTCCTTGGGGTCATCGCGAGCCGAGATGCTGCCCTTGTCGATCTCGTCCGCCAAACCATCCGGGAACGGCTCAGCCTTCATGTCCACGCGCACACCACACCATACCACACACGTATGTCCTGGGCAATGTGCTGCTCCCTCCCTCCCGACGGTCGCCCACCGTGCAGTAGAGTCGGTTGTGTTTGTTGGGTGACTTGGAGAGGCACGTCTGGCTTGAAGTCTCGGCGACCGTCTCGCGGTATGACACGACGGGGTCCGACACGATGAAGTCGATCTGGGCGTACTCATCCTTCAGGTCCTTGAGGCAAATCTCGATGTGCAGCTCACCGCACCCTGCACACGCATCATTTACCGCACGTACGTATGCATGAATGGATGGCATTTGTCGATCGAAGGCCCGCCTGCCCGCCTCCCTCCGGTGTCTGTCTGTCTGTCTGTCTGTCGTGTCTGCCCTTTTTGTCGTCTTGTGTGTGAACACTACCGTACCTACCTGCGACGATGTGTTCTCCTGATTCCTCGACGGAGCAGACGACGAGTGGGTCGGACTTTGAGAGTCGCTTGAGGCCCTCGACCAGCTTGGGCAGCTCCTTCTGGTCCTTGGGCTTGACGGCCACACGCACCACAGGCGACACGCTGTACTTCATGTCGGCGATGTTGTGCGCATGCTCGTATGTCGTGATGGTCCCAGACTTGAGGATGTACCTGTCGGCGGGAGACAGGGAGGGGACAGGGAGGGAGGGAGGGATGTCATATCAATCAAGGGGGTGGTGCGGTGCGGCGTGCCGTGCCCGGCTTGGCTTACTGGTCGACGCCGACAAGACCGACGGTGTTGCCGCAGGGAACATCCTGCACCTGCACACACACCCCACCCACACACACACACGTGTATTCCGGCCTGCCTGTGTGCGCACCTGTCTGCCTGCGTGTGAGTGGGTGAGTGAGTCGTTTTGACGTACCTGTTCGATGTATCTGCCCATCATGAGTACGGTTCTTTGGATGTTCTTGACGACGAGGTCCTCCTTGCCGCCCGGCACATAGTGTGGGCCCTGGATGCGGACCTTCTGACCCGTCGCTATCGTGCCCGAGAACACGCGACCGAAGGCGTAGAACCGACCCTTGTCCGACGTCGGCACCATCTTGGACACGTACATCATCAAAGGGCCGTTCGGGTCGCAATTCCTGATTGTGGACACACACACACACACACAGACAGACAGACACACAGACAGACGGACATTGATGGAGCGATTGACCAACATACATTGAATGCCCGTCTCTCCCTGCCTGCCTGGCTCTCTGCAGGTCTGTCTGTCTGTCTGTCTGTGGCCCCATCCAGCAGCATAGGTACCTACCTGATGCCGTTTGCGGCCTCGTCGTCCATGGGTCCCTCGTAGAGATTGGCGACGCGGTACTTCTGTGCCACCACGGGCGACGGCAGGTGGGTCACGATCATCGTCAGCAGCGTGTCGCCAGCGTTGATCCACACCTGCATCACACGCTTCAGCAGCGGCTTGCCCGTCAACTGTTTGTCCTCCGCTACACACACACACACACACACACACCATTGTGGTTGGTCTGTGTGTGTATGGCAGGCGTGCGGAGTATGTGTCTGTTACATACATTTGAGGTTGACTCCCAGTTGGTCGAGCATCTTGGTGTACTTGTCCTTGTCGTCGTTCATGATGCTGCAGCCAGGCAGGCACACCACACACACACCACAGGCCAGGCAGAGAGGAAACACACAGACCCACCGGACGAATGAATGTGTGCCTTTCCTTTCCTGCCCCCCCTCGCGCAGACGCGTGTTTGTGCGTGTGTGAAAGTGTGTATCATCACATCTATGTATGTATCTGGGTTAGGTTACCGACCTGGTGAAGAGTTGGCAGATGGGGTCCATGATGAACTGGCAGAATGCGCGACGGAGAGTGGCGCCTTCGGCCTCAGAGCTCTTGACCCACTTCTTGGTCTTGCCGTTGAAGTAATTGTCGCCCCACAAACGCTGCCGTCCATCCATCAACCAATCAACACGGCCACACACCACGTACAATACATACAATCAGGCAATGCCGGTGGGTGGGTGGGTGGTGTGGCCATTCTGCGTGTGGCCTAGTGGCGTGTGCGTGTCGTGTCTGAGGGCTCGCTGTGCTCAGCTGCCCTGCCCTGCCCTGCCCCCCTCCACGCCCACCCACATCGATACATACGTACATGACATACACACATACCTGCATCATCTTTTCCTTCTCGACCCCGAATTTCTTGGCGTATATCTTGGCGAACAACTCGACCGTGAAGGCCCAACCGTGCAGACCCGAACCGAAACTCACGGTACCCTATCGATTATTTCATTGATCGGTGGGTGGCAACAGATATAGACATGCCATGCCATGCCGCACACACAAGACAAGACAGACACATTCAATTGAATGACCCGACCCGCCTCCCTCAAAGTGTGTGCCTGCTATGCATAGTTGTGTATGGACGGACGTGTAGTGAGTGAGTGCTGTGGGTCCACCGTACCTTCTCAGGGTAGACCTGGACATCTCCCATGAGCTCGTCCTTGTAGGTGGCGATCACCACATTGACGTTCTCAATCGTCCGCTGGAACGTCTGCAGTCAGTGCAACACACATCCAATCCACGTGTGCCCGTCTGGCTGCACCCATCCCATCGACCGCAGGGGCCGCCCCGCTGTCTGTCTGTCTGTGTATGTGGTAGGTGGGGAGGGCGACTCACTGACTGACTGACTGACCTGGAAGATTTCCTCTCCGTCCATTTGGAGTTCGAGGAGTGCTCTGTCGACTTTGTTGACGTGTAGGACAGGTCGGATACGCTCCTGCAGCGCCTGGCGCAGGACGGTCTCGGTCTGGACGCACACGCCCTCGATGGTGTCCACCACCACCAGCGCACCGTCAGTCACACGCAGCGCTGCCGTCACCTCAGACGAAAAGTCCACGTGGCCCGGAGAATCGATCAGACTGACAGACAACACAGATACATACAATCAGTCAGTCAGTGCCTGGCTCTCTGGCTGTCTGTCTGTCAGGCTGTGGTGTTAGCTTTTCCCCCCACACAGACTGACATACTTGATAAGGAAAGGCGTGACGCCGCGTCCGTCCTCAATGTCGGCCTCGAAGTAGAGTGAGATGCCGGTGGACTTGATGGTGATGCAACGCTCCTGCTCGTCGGCTCGCGTGTCGGTGAAGCGAGCATCGCCGGCAGCCTTGGAAGCTATGATACCGGCCTTGCTCACCAACGAGTCCGTCAGCGTCGACTTGCCGTGGTCAACACTAAACACACACACAGCGAGTCAGTGGAAGGGAGGACGTGAGACACGCATAACAAAATTGCCCGCTGAGAGGCACGCAGCTAGGCAGCGGTGTGTGGGCGCGTGGGTGGGAGGCTTACTGAGCAATGACGGACAGACACCGAATGTTCTTCGGCTTGTCCATAATCTCCCGGAGCTGATCCACTGTGAAGTTCACCTGAAGGTCAGTCAGTCACATCACACACCAGAGGAGAGAAAGGGTTCACGAGGCAAGGCAACCGACACGGATGCGGCTCGGACAACAGTGCAGAGCAGAGCCTCCAGCCGCTCGACACACACACCCCTCGCCCGCTGTCTACCCTACTGCCCGACCCCCCCCCGTTCTGTGCTTCGACTCTCTATCGTCGATTGAGACACAGGGTGAGACAAACGGCGGCATGTGTGTCGCTGCACCCTTCCCCGGCCACATCTGCCCCAGATCTCTCTACTGAATCACCTCACCCCTCACACCTCTGCACCCCTTGATCTGCGTGTGTGGTGCGTGATCTCCCGACGCCTTACCATCTTGGCTGGCTGCGGAGGACCAGGCGCACAAGGCGAACAGGGGAGAAGAAGAGAGGCGACAAACGTCAGTGATCAAACGCGAGCTAAAGCTCGCAGCTCACCTGGCCCTGAAAACGGATGACGCTGGAGCCGATACGTGGAGGTTGAAACAGCCTCTAGTGCAGATCTTGGTGGTAGTAAGTCGTTTATGGAGAAGGCATCAAAGGCGCTTCGGTCCACCTCAGTGAGCGGGGAGCGTGTGGCTCATTGCGCTGCGCCTTCCTGCAGCTGGGCGCGGCAGAAGCATGGAGGGGTGCAGATGAGCCACGTGGCCAACAGGAAGAGTAATCACAGGTGGGCACGTACCCTACGCACGAAACCACCCACACTCATTCCTATAGATAGATATATCTGCATGGTATCCATCCGGGTGGGCGGGCCGGGGCGGGGCGGCCACCTGTTTGTCTGTGTATGTATTTGTTTGTATGTTTGTATGCATCTCCCTCCCTCCCTCCCTGCCTCCACCACTGGCTGGCTGCCGTGCTGTTGTGTTTTGCTTGTAGTGTTCGATGGATAGAGCGCCACATCAACGACCGGTACGTCATGAAGGCCCAGCAGGAGAATTACCGGTCCCGCGCCGCCTACAAGCTGATGCAGATGGATGACCGCTTCTGCTTCCTCAAGCGTCACCAGGTGGTCGTCGACCTCGGATGCTACCCAGGAGGCTGGTCACAAGTGAGCAAGGAAGGAACGAACGACCACACACCACACACACACACATACATCCTTACTCATCCTTACTCGCCTGCCTTACCATTCATTTCATTCCGACGAGGCATTACTTCCCTCCCTCCCTGCCTCCCTGGTGTCCACTCCCTTCCTTCCTCAGGTAGCTCTTGAGCGTACGTACTGCGACGGCAGCTCTCGTGGTGTGGTGCTGGGGGTCGACAAGGTGCGTATGGACCCGTTGCTGCACCACACCTTCATCCAGGGCGATGTGAGCCACAAGGAGATCCTAGACCGATGCTTCAACGTCCTGGGCGACCGGCGGGCCGACGTGGTCCTCAGCGACATGGCACCCAAACTCATCGGCGTCAAACAAGACGACCACCTGGCATCGGCTGAGACCGCACTCTTCGCCTGTGACTTCGTCGAACAGGTCAGGCATCCAGGGCAGCCAGGCAGTCGGGGAGGGACATCCAGGCCTCACACGGACATACGCGACATAGGCCGACGGAGGGAGGAAGGGAGTGGCTGCGTGTCCACCAGGTGTTAAAGCTGGGGGGGTGGTTCATCGTCAAGCTCTTCTATGGCGGACAGGGGGACAACCTCAAGGTGGGTGGCTGGGTGGCTGGGTGGCTGGGTGGGTGGGCGGCGGCCCGGCCCACCTGCCTGCTCACCTGCCTGCCTGCACGGATTGCTTTGCTGCCGTGTGTGGTGTGGTGTGGTGTGCGTGGCATGGCATGGCAGGTATACTTGAAAACGAGGTTTGAGAGGGTCCGCTCTGTCAAGCCAAGGTCAGTCAGTCAGTCAGTGAGTGAGTGAGTGGATTTAGTGGTTGGGTTCTCGCACAGACAGACAGGCCAGGCCGCCAGAGGAGAGGAGAGGAGTGACGACCTGCATGCCTGTGTGTAATTGCTGCGCATATGCAATCAATGGTTCCACAAATGTGGTTCAGGGCCTCTCGCAATGAGTCGCGGGAAATGTACTTTATCTGCGAGAAGTTCATAGGTCATAGGCACGACACACCGACTGACACCCCGACTGACCGAGCCTTTCTCGTGTCGTGCGTCGTCTTCATGTGATGTGTGTGTGTGTGTGTGATGGCTTCAATCATTGATTGACTGATTGATTGGTTCAGGTCGTCCCAAGTTGTCGTCGGAGGTTCAGGTCAAGTCCATGTACATGGACAAGGGCGAGGGGTACATGTGATGATGTATGTATGTGAGTCAATGACCCACTCACTGACTGCCTCAAGCAGCCATAGTTCTACTGTGCGGTGCGAGCGAGCGGGGCAATGCAATGAGGGGTGGATGCAGGGAGGGATGACGCAAGCAAGCGTTTCTTTCGGAGGCAGGCCAGCAGAGCAGCCAGCCTGCCTGAATGCATGAATGATATGACTGACTGACTGACGGATGGGATGGGTGCCCGGCCCGGATTCGAATCAATGGGATCACTGAATACACATGCCGAAGCGCATCGATGGATGCGTCAGTCAACCATTGACATCGCACGAGCGCCACCCACCCATCCCATGTCACTCGCACACTGTCTGCCTGCCTGAAGGCATCCCTCCCTCCCTCCCTCCCTGTGGCCGTGCGTGTCGGTGGGTGGGTGCTGGTGCGTCTGTCAGGTGTGTTGTCCCTGTGCCTTGTCGTGCTCCTCTTCCATCATCAGCTCCAGGTCGTCTGGGTGAGGCGCAATGCCCGACGGCTTTCCACTATGCCGACGTACACAGACAGACAGACAGACAGAGAGGGAACACACCGACATACATACATAGCAGCAATGTTCGTACACGGACACGGACAGACAAGTCATGTTCTGCGTGTACGTGGTGGATCCTCAATTTTCACGTGCTGTGCTGTGCTCTGCTCTGCTCTGCTGTCAGTGCCCTGCCTGCCTGCCTGCCCCACTCGAGTACCCACGTCCAGTTGCTTACCCACCTACCCGTGTGATTTGAGTAGTCTCCTGAGGTGGTCGACCTGCTCCATCTCGGCTATGTCATAGGGCGTGAGGCCGTCGCCACCCTCCGTATTGACGTCTGCTCCGTGCTGAATAAGCAGCTGCACGAGGTGCTTGTTCTTCCTCAGAACGGCCTTGTGGAGTGGAGTGTAGCCCGTGTAGTAAGACTTGGCATTGGGGTCCGCACCACCAGCCAGCAGCAACTCGGCTATCCTCTTGGAATTCGCCATCGCTATATGAATCACACAATATAACACACACACAGCTATGAATGGATTTGAGGATGGATCAAGCGACCAAGATGACCCCTTCCTTTCCCATGTATTTGATGCAGTCCGTCCGGCCCACCTGCTGCATGAAGGGGCGTGTTGCCATGCTGCCATCCATGCCATCCATCGTACACAAGTGTAGCGTACATGCATACCGACACACAGACGCCAACCAACTCATACAGAAACAACATCTTGGGTCGGCTCCCCTCCCTCCCTCCGTACCTCCGTTCTGAGTGTGGGGTCGGCCCCATTGTCGGCCAGGAGCTTCACCACGTCGAAATGGCCCTTCTCGCACGCAAGAAACAGACCTGTCTTGCCATTCTGATTGCAGGCAGGCAGGATCAAAGCAAAGGCCGGAGGGCATGGAGTGAGAACACATCTAACGACCCCCAGGTGGGCAGGCAGCGTGCCTGTGATTGCATAGGTGTGTGATGCATGGCTGGCCACCTCGTCAGTGATGTGTGTGAAAGGGGGGTTCTTCTTGAGGAGCTTCTTGACCAGCTTGATGTTGCCCTCCACACAACCACTCAAGAACTGATGCTCTGGAGTGTCCTGACAAAAAGAGCGCGCCAACAGATCAGATGAATGAGGGTTCCTTTCCCCCTGCCTGGCCTGCGTGCACACTATCAATCAATCGATCGATCCATGTGCGGTGCGCACCCCCCGTCTCCTGCCCGCCCCATCGCACCCCACCCGGTCTTTGTCTTCTTCGTACTCCTTCTTCCAGTCCACCTCCTGACACACACACACAGGCAGACGTACGACAGAGGCACCACAAACATTCACTGACCCACACTAAACCAAAAACGCCACTCTCTCGCCTCACTTGTGTGGAACGCCCGTCCACCCATCCATCCATCCATCCATCGATTGGTGAGTGAGTGTGTGAGTGGCTGACCATTTCCTGTTCGAGCCACTGTCCCGTGGCTTCATCGTGCACATCCACCTTGACGCGCTTCTTGAGCTTGCCGTTCTTGTCGAGGTACGGCTCGCTCGACGCACCCTCGTACTCTGGAGCCCCACCTATCCTCTTGCTCGCCGCCTTCTTGCCGGCTCCACCCTTCCCACCAAGTGCCGTCGGCTCTCTTTCTTTGCTGCCTGGACTAGCTGCCGTCTCGTTAGGCTTTTGGTGGGTCGCATCTGGTGTGGCGGGGGGCTCGGGTTCACCCACCGGGGCATAAGGCCACTCCTCCTCCACTTTGGGAGGAGCGGGGGACGGGGTGGGGATGGGGGATAGGGTGGGCGGGGAGGGAGGGGCCTGTGAAGGGTCACTGGGAGGGGTGGTGCTGTGATACAGCCATGCCACAGGCAGGAGGTGCCACCACCCACCCACAACCGCACCAAGGCCGGTCACGATGACGAATGCAGCCCCCGCCAAGTACCACAGCCCCCCAGACCGCCTCTTCGGAACCTGCACAAGCAGCACGAAACACAGCCATGAGCACACAGTCAGTTTGAGGAAGGCAGATCTGCTCACCTTCTTGGCCTCTGTGGCCTTGGCGTCGCCCGTCGGGTGGCCCTTGCCATCGGTTGGTGGTGGCTCGCCAGCAGACACCTGCAAACACTCAACCCAGCGAGCAGAGGCGAAGATGAATTCATCAGTTTGGTGTGTGACCACCTACAGCTTCGGGACGGCGTCTTCTCATCCTCGTTGATGGAGAGGAAAAGGAGAGTGAGGAGCGAGCTCGTGCGAGCTAAGCGGTGGGGAAGCCTCTGTGTTTGGAGATCTTGGATGACATGCTGACATCCGCTGGCATGCTCGCCATGGAGAACGAATACACCGGGGTAAGCCCAAGACACGCCCGCACCTCAGAGGCGGCACGGAAGACACGGCCGCACCTCACTCCCTCGTTGCATGACTCGATCGCGGCGTGGCTGGATGCCCCTTGATTGTGTGTGTTGCGATCTCGGCTGGTTGCTGTGCTGGTGGTGTGGTTGTGGTGCCTGCAGGGCATCAGGAGCAACCTGGATATCCTGTCGCAGCGGCGGCCGGCGGCGTCAGGTAGTCTGGCGACAACGGCGAGGAAGGACGACCTGTACCTTCATGGATACGGCCGACAATGGGGCGAGAAACTCACATACAGTGTGGGACTCGCATATGCTTCAGGTGATTGATTAGGGAGCGAGGGAGGGAGGGAGCCATCCATACTATGTGATGTGCATAGCACGTGGCTGTCGTGTCGTGTCGTCTCGAGGGGGGGCGGGCAGGGCGGGCACGCAGATCACTTGTCCATCATTGCCATTCACTGACTGTACAGCTAGCTGTCTGTCTGTGTGTCCATGTCTGTGCAGGTCTGGCCGTCGGTGGGGGTTATGGTTTGGTGATGGGCTTGCGCAAGGGCGGGGCGACGTCCAGGTTATTCTTCAACAGCGTCCTCAACTCCACCAGCACACACGGACCAGCTCTCGCCAACCAATGCGCCGTCATCGGTACACACACAAAAACACAGCCACTGCACTCTGTTTCATTTCTCCTTTTCCTTCCATATGTCTTTCTTACGTGTCTGTGTTTGTGTGTGCATATGTATGATGGATGGATGGATGGATGTCTGTATGTGTAAATGAATTCCATCCATCCATCAGCTGGTTTCTATGTGGGGTTTAACAACCTGATTGGTTGGGTGCGTGGTGCTGACGACATTGGCAATGCGGCGATAGCTGGTGCGCTGGCTGGGGGTCTCTTCAAGATCACCACCTCTTGGAAGGCTGCCATCAGATACTCACTCGTCGCTACAGGTACATACCTACGGACGGTAGGGACGCATGTCAGTCAGTCGTGCATAGAGAGAAAAGAGATAGATTGATGGCATCCCATCCAGGCCAGGCGGGATATATGGGCAGACAGACAGACAGACAGACAGACAGGCGACACGGCACGCCGCACGCACACAGACGGACGGAACAATCAGTGTGGTTTGTGTTGATTGGTTTTATTGCATGTTCAGGCGTCTTTACGGGCATTGACTATGTATTTAAACAGATGTGATACATACATGTGATGGATGGATGGATGCCCGCGGACGGATACAGACATACATTGTCGATCTCTCTATCTGTCTGTCTTCCTCCCTACCTAGACTGTTTTGAGCTGTGAATAGCTGCGGCACGGACTGACTGACAGACAGACAGACTCTCACACACTCAGAGACAGGCAGACAGACTGACTGACCTGACGGACACGCAGGTCGCCAGTCAGTGCGCAAGTGAATGCATGTTTGCGCACATATATCATATGCTGTGCGCGTGTGCATTGATTGCATGGCCGTGGCGTTTTTGTTGCCCTGCCCCTGTGCGTGCGTCTGTGTGTGTAGCTGCCTGCGTCGCTACCTGTGTCATGACATGACGATCGGTTGTTTCGATCTCATCGAGACATTGACGGCTCATGCTTGCGTTGTGCCTACACGACTACATACACTCAGCGCATACGCTACCTAAGATTTCGATGGACCACTCGACGCACCGCACCATTCATTTCATCATCCAGCACAGCACCCACACGGAATGCAAATAAATCCTCGTCTGTCTGTCTGTCTATGTCTGTTTATCCATATCCATCCATCCAAAACTGTACATAGATACACGCAAGGCAAGACAGGGCAACTGTCTGTCGCACGCACCGACAAATGACGGGCTAGGTCCCTCTCAAGACTCAAGGCATTCATCCATGAGGAGGAAGGAAGGGAAGGATCAGTGAGTCAGTGAGTCAGTCGAGGAGTTCCCTGAGGCGCTCGTAGGACGCGAAGAAGATGGAGCACACGCAAAACCACCTACATGCATCACACACATCACATGGACACACAAGAGTGACATGACTGACCACACTGACTGACTGGATTACGTGTGCTCTGTTGTGCTGTGCTGTGGTATGTATGGTAGGTAAGTATGGCCGCAACCCCCATCTCATCACATCCCATCCATGCATACCAGGCAGCTCTAGGTCCAGCGCCGACGAAGAATCCCCTGGGCCCCCCGGCAGCCAACGATGACACTACCTTGGCCGCTGAACGATCACTCACCTTATCTGGACACACACACAGACACACAGACAGGCAGTCAGACAGACAGGGGACGGAACGGAACGTGTGGGTGCCTGGTGGCCAATCATTCCCCGACGGCACCTCACATCCCTCCCTTTGTATGTCCGTCCGTAGGTACCTGCCGTCATGATTCTGGTTTTGATGACGTCGAGGGGTGTGGTGGTCCAGCCAGCCAACGCACCACTGATGCCGCCCCACAGAATCGTCTCGGCACTATCACACACACACATACGCACACAGACAATTTACTTGTCTTGCTTCTTCCTGTCTGTTGGTCGGTGGCGTGCGTGGCTGACTGCTCACTCACTCACTCTGAGAGTGTTTCTCCATGGTGGTGGTGGTGTGCGGACTGGAGCGTCTCGATCCGCTGCTCGTGCGTCGATAGTCTGATCTTCCATGACTTGAACTGCTCATACGACACAAACAGCACCACCTGCACCAACCATGCCATCCATCCATCCGCACACACACACACAGAAATGCATACCATGGAAGCATCTAAATCACAAACATGTGTGGCGGTGCTGACCATGAAGGGCACGTCTCGTGCAGCCGTTGATGTGTATCCCGTGAAGAGTCCTAGCGGCCCCTCCGTGCGCAGGATCTGACCAACGGCGTGGAGCGTACTGCGGTACATGCCTGTTGGTTGGGGGTGGGAGGGCAGGGGAGGGGAGGGGAGGGGAGGGGAGGGACACAACAGAGCAGAGCAGAGCAGAGCAGCGAAGCAAACAAGCCAGTGCATCCATGTAAGTATGGACACACATCTGCAGGCCCTGTCCTCCAAGTCATATCATCAGTGGACCATTGGTGTCAAGTCAATGTATTGATTGGTGTCTGTCTGTCTGTCTCTCTGTGTGTCTGTGTGTGTGTGTACCTGTTTGTAGCCTTTGCACGACCACTTCCCGGGGCACCTTGACCAGCGACGATGCAAAGTCACCCGCAACCGCACAACAGGCGTTCCGGAGAGCTGGGCTGTCGAAGTAGGGATCCAGCCACCTAGGTAGGTAGGTACATGACATGAACAAACAACATTAACCAAGACACCCGATTATTGATTTGTCGATAGCCAGCCGCGGGCAGCCTGCCCGCGTGCACAGCATACCTCTGTGCGACTCCGTATGTGCCGAATCGGAGCCCTCCCTGGGGAGCGGCACCCAGCACACTGATTGCAATCGCAGATCCATCCACACACACTGGTCGGGCCGGCCTCTTAATTGTCTGTCTGTATGTGTGAATGAATAGGTAGGTAGGTGGTTAGGTTACCTCGCGAAGAACCCTCTCGAGAGCACCTTGGCCCCAGCAGCACTGTGACACACGCACACACACAGCGCAGGCAGGGAGGGAAGGAAATACAGACAGACAGACAGACATCGATGAGAAGGATCGGATTGGGCTTGTCATCTCATCTGTCCACCCTGACTGACTGACTGACTGACCGCAGTGCCCTGGTGAGTTGTGTGGTGAAGCCGTTGGTGGCGCCGCTGCCGTTAGTGACTGAGGACATGCCGTTGGCCAAGCTGCCTGACGAGGTGCCGACCACGGCCTGCATCTGGGTCCGAATCGTGTCCAACGGATGCATCACAGCTGCACTCGTGGATAAGTAAGGAGGTGGGGCGGGGCAACACGCAAAAAGAGAAACAGCGAGGCATTTACTACAACAGTGTGGTTTTTGTGGGGGTCGTCGCGACCATCGCATACATACCGAATGAAAGGGGAAGCTGCGCGGGATCAGCGATAGGGATGGCAGGAAATGCATGCATGAATAAATCAAGGCATCAACCGGAGGCTGAGCGTATGTGTGTGTGTGTATTGTCCTCCCTCCCCCTTGTCACTCACCGCCAGGCTGCCGGCGATGAAGTCGACGTGGAAAGGGAAGGGGTCGGCCGTGGAGCGTCGCGTGCCGCCACTCAAGCCACCAGACACATCAGTGAACGAACCAGGGGTCACACCCGCAGCTGGCACGCTCGGTGTCCTCGACTCGCCCCTGGCCCGCTGCATTTCATCGCTGAGGGCCTCGACTGCTCGCGTTAGCGAGGCGACCGTGGAGGTGAGCTGGCGGACGGTGGCCTCAAGCTGCTCTGTCGATGAGGGATCTGCCATGATAGACAGTCGATGGCCAACTCAGCCGGTTGGGGGGAGGAATGAATGCTTCGAAGAGGGAGTGGATCTTGGCCCGCGTCAGCCAGTCAATTATCTGCGATGAAGAGCAGCACAGCACAGCACAGCATGTCTGAATGAATGCAGCCGCCTGCCTGATACGCCAGCTGCCCACCTCGAGTTACGGCAGAAGGTGCATTGCAGAGGAAAAATGATGATGTAGCCAGTGAAGCCTCCTCCAGCCACCATACTCAGGGCGTGCGCTGCCAGATCTGAACCTTTTGCCTCGACGAACAGTTTCACGCAATGTCCTAGGCGGTTTGGCTATCATGCGAGCTACGGAGATCTGCGCGCAAACGGGGCATCATGGCGCATCCTCTGTCGTTTGAGCCGCCCCGTGTAGTGGTGGACATCTCCTTCTGGCAAGAGCTGGCAGCGCAGAAGCTCGACCGCATGAAGCTCACGACACCCCGAGTGCCCATCGTCGCCACCATGGAGAGACCCGCACCGCACAGTCCCGCATCCAAGGACGCCTCCCGCACATCTGGGCAGCTCCGGCTGACCAGATCTTCATTCACCCACACCAGCAGCACCGGGGAGGGAGGGGTGGCCACCAATGACGAGAGTGGTTCGAGTCTGCTTCACGAGGAGTGGCGGGGGACACTCATCAACGTCAACACACTCGAGGAGTTCCGCTCATTCGACCGCAAACAGCTCACCGACACTGTGGCCGCGGCCATTGCAAACGGCGGTGCGGAAGGTGCGGCTGAATCTGACGATTATTCATCTAGGCGAGCGGCAGGGGACACTGCGGGTGGTGGTGGTGTGCGCGTGAGGGGGCTGCGGGAGATGGCCCCATGTGGTGCCGGTCGCGTGTTGGTGATGCTGACGTTTATCGACCTCAAGAAGTATCGCGTGTACTACTCCATTGCCTTCCCCGTCATCAGCCCCAACCCCTCATACCAACACATCGACCACCAGCACCTTGACCAAGCCATGACGGCCCAAGACATCAGCGCCATGATGCGACAGCTCAAGGCCGACCACACGACGCTCAAGGATGGCCTGTTCGACGTCCATGTGGGGGGAGGGAATGCTGGTGGGGCCGCGGATGGGCCGTGGCTCGGCTATGTAGACTCGTCCACCTCAGCGGAGGCCATGGGGTGGGGCTTGCGCAATGTGCTCTTCCTTCTGGCTAGCAAGAGGCGTCTGTACGGCAGGACCATCCGCATTTTGGCCTTCAGGGACCTCCGCAAGGTCATCACCCACCAGGCTGACAACGAGTACCGTCCGTCCTATCAGTCGTCGGTCTATACCGTCCGCTTCCCACCTGCCGATGCCTTCACCCTCCCACCACCGTTATCCCATGACAGCCGAAATGGCAGCAGCTCTGCACGAGCGACGTGTCTGGGCGGTTGGGTGAGGTGGCCGGTGGCGGACGGCCATGGCCAGGCACCAGGCCATCAGCAGCACAAGAGCACGACAGTGCAGCAGGTCAACCTGTGTGACTACCTCGACTTCACCACCATACAAGCCAACGCCGTCGACCTCAATGTTAAGCTCATCAAGTGGCGCATGGTGCCACAGTTCGATCCAGAGAGGTTCAACTCGATGCGCTTCCTTCTGCTGGGCGCGGGCACTCTGGGGTGCGCAATCGCCAGGGCACTCATTGCCTGGGGGGCCAAGTAAGCGCATAGGCAACAGAAGAATCCTCCATCTGTGCAAGTGCTCTGTTGTGGGTGGTGTGTGCGTTTGGTGCGGTGCGGTGCGTGTCTGTGAATGTGTGCCTGCCTGCCAGGCACATAACCTTTGTCGACAGCGGCAATGTGGCCATGTCCAACCCCGTCAGGCAAAGCCTTTTCAAACACCAAGATGCAGCGGCCGAGGTCAGCCTCCCATCCCACACCACAGCACATGCACCGCACATGTGACATGACATCATCAGCCCAGCCCAGCCCCCAGACAAGTCAAGTCAGCTGAGCTAGCCCATGTGTATGCATTGCATTCTGTACCTGACTGACATGTGCGGTGCTGTGCGTGGGAGTGAGTGCAGGGCGGCAGCGGTCGTCCCAAGGTGGATGCTGCCTGTGAGGCGTTGCGTGAGATTCGCCCCGATGTGGATGCGAGGGGTGTGGTGTTCGAGATACCCATGCCGGGCCACTTCGACGCGTCGGCAGCATCAGCCCCATCCCCATCCGGCAGCGGTGCGGCCGCCAGCACATCGGCATCGATCGAGCGGTCCCTGCACACGCTGGACGAGCTGATATCTGAGCACGATGTAGTGTTCATGGGCACTGACTCACGTGAGTCCCGCTGGCTGCCCTCATTCCTCATCGCTAACAAATCCTGGCGGGCCGTCAGGAGGCAGCAACAGCAACAGCAGCAGCAGACGGCAGGAGGTGGAGCGGCGGTGGGGTCAGAGGGTGAGGGTGGGTGCGGTGGTGTGCCGCTGGGCATCACTGTAGCGTTGGGGTTCGACTCCTTTCTCGTGCTGCGTCACGGGTACAAGGATCAGAGCCTGGCCTGCTACTTCTGCAATGACCTGTCGGCACCCAGAGACACCACATCCAACAGGTGGGCAATGCGTACATACAGGCCATGCAACGGCAACGTGACACGACGCACGGCAGTTTATGTCTCCCTGTTTTCTCGGCTGTGTGTGCTGCCTCGGGTGTTTGTGTGACTGACACGTGTGGTTAGGACTTTGGATCAGCAGTGTACTGTCACACGTCCAGGAGTGTCGCCCATGGCCTCGGCACTCGCTGTGGAGCTGCTGGTCACTCTCTCACAACACCCGCAGTAAGTGTAGGACTGAGTGACTGTCATGCACGCCGCTGGCCACCTACCTTGGGTCCCTTTGTGTGTGTGTGGCTGTTGTTTGTCCAGTGGGTTTGTGGCCGACCCATCTGAGAAGGACACGGGCAGCAGCGATGACTCGTGCCTTGGCGCTTGCCCACACTCTATCAGGGGATTCATCGGGGGTGAGATAGATAGCTATGCATGCTATGCTACCACAAGCAAAGCAACCAACACATCAACCCACCCACGTGTATTCGTGTCAACATGAATGTGGCGTGTCGTCCTCTCTCTGTGTGGGCATCGATCAGGGTTTCGTCTGGTAGTGGGTTCCAGCCCCCAGTCGCCCTACTGCACGTGCTGTTCTCCGGCGGTGCACGAGGCATTCGAACAAAACCCCATCGGCATGCTCACACAGGTCACTCAATCAATCGGCACGCCATATGATAATACCAATCCCTGTGTGTGTGATTGGAGTTGTGCAGGTGATGCATGACCCGGGCCACTTGGAGAGTGTGAGTGGGCTGCGTGTCTTCATGGACAAGATGAGTAGAGTGGAGGAGGACGTCATACAAATCGACGATGAAGAACTATGTCTGCTGTGAGTCGTGGCTGTCTGGGTCGGGTTGAGAGGTCTCCTTCAGATGAAACAAACTGGGTGTGATCGACAAAACACTGAGTGCACTAAGTACCATGATAAGTCCATAAGTCTGTACACTAGAACGGCCCGCCGCTGCACATGCCAATCGAATCGCATTCATACCGCAGATCGATCGACCAACACGTACAGAACGGCCAGCCATGCTCCTACCTACCTACGTTACGTAGGCGCTGCCTGTGCGGCGGCCTCACTGAAGAGGCTGGCTGCATTGACCCACATGTGCAGCTGACTGCGCTCAACGTCATGGTCACCCTCCACCTGGACGCACACACAGAAGAAAGTAGGTAGAGCAGCTCCCTGTAACTGAGCAGTGCATGGTGGATAGATGGTGAGTGGGTGCCACGCTGACCTCGCCCCACTGTTCCTGTTGGAATGTCTCCTCGAGGCGTGCCGCCGCGATGGCCAGCGGAACCGACACCCAACCCTCAACCACTCCCATACCTGTCAGACAGGTCAGGTATGTATGAATCAACCAACACAAAGGCACGCACAACAACTATGGGCCTCCTCATGATCCATCATGCTCCTTCCTTTACTAATCGACCCATCCTCCCTGTCCCATTGCTTGCCTGCTGTCTGCCCTCCGCACCTACCTAGTATGAGGCTCTTGAGGTTCATGGTGACGACCTGCAGGGCCGTCAGGTCCCACGCACTCTACAGACATAAAAACACCCATGTGTGTGTGTCGGTCACTAATGAATTGTCGGCTGGCTGTTCTTCACCCAGTAAGTCGGTCGGTTACCATGTTGCGCATGGCGTCTGATACGGCCGCAAAGACCTCAGGCGGCTGGGTGGGTGGCCTTATGTCTGCACAGACAACACGACACGACACGACCCGTGTACCTACCGTACCCATTCATACATCAATCAATCTATTGTGAGCGTGGCGTACCGTGTGAGATGTCGAGTGCCGTGTGGGGGCAGTAACGCTCCTCGAAAGCACGCTGGACTGGCAGCAATAACTACGAGTGAGTCAACACACACAGAAGACACATAGACACATAATTCGATGTGATGTGTCAGTCAAATCAATGGGTGGCAAGGCAAACAACAGGTCGGCGTTTGCGTGCTCTGTACGGACGGCCTCCTGGCGCCTAACGAGATCCTCGTCCGAGTCGCGAAAGCTGACCATGAAAGCAGCCAGCCACGCATCACACACAGGCCAGGCTCTATGTGTGTATCTGCCCCCGTCCCCGCACCCACCCACCAGACGGTGTCGGTGTGAAGGTAGTTGAGGAGCGCCTGAGCCGTCGACTCGCGGTGGGACGACACCACATCCAACGTAGTCGATGCCAAAGTCATCTGCCATGCCATGCATCAACGGAACAGGCACAGGCGCGGCGCACACCCACATACATAGGGACGCATGTGAGTCAATTCTCGCATGTATGTAATGTGTGTATGCTGTGGGTTCGGTTCGGTTCGCCACTCACCCACCATCGGCATGAGCTGTGGTGTGATTTTGTCCCTCTGTGCCTGCCACTCAGACGCCAGAAACAGCGCCAGAGACTCACTGGGCAACCGAAGAGGCCTGCACGGCGTACATGAGATGTCTGTGGCAGCGTGTGTGTCAGCACGTGTTGGTTGGTCAGTCACTGCATGACCTCTTGGCGGGCGTCTTGAGCACTCGTCCGTCGAGTAGCACCTCCCACTCGCCGCCGTGTGCAGCAGGCTGCTCCCTGGCCTGCCGTACGTCGACTTTGTGATAGAACCGTCTCAGCCGCCACGACGAAACACCGGTGGACGCTGCCAACACAGCCACACGCCAGATAGACACGTCCGAATGCTCAGATCTGCTCACTTCCAGCAGCGGCGACGCTTTTTCGGTTCGCTGAGGTGTGCAACCACCTTCCACAACGCCTCTCCATTGCGCCAGGCCAGAGAAAGAGGTGACTTTCCGTGCAGCCTGGCACTCAAGCTCGCACCAAGGATCTCGCCATCCTTTGGCTCGTTTCTCTGGCCCAGTGGCTGTCTGCCTACACTGACGACACCTTGATGCGAAGAAATCGCGAAACGAATTTGCCGGGTTGGAGAAAAACAGCCACTCGATCCTCACTCGATCCAACTCCCCTTCCCCCTTTCGCCAATTCGGAACATCCCTGGAGGCTCACGTGCCTAGTGAAGTGCCTGAGTGACATTCATGGAGTGCCGCAACGCTGGCACTCATGATCAATGTTGAGAAACCAATTAGGGCACAGCCAGGTTATCCATCTGCGGGCCGACACATCATTTCCCCAACAATCAACAGCTTCTTTATGTTTGCTGACTGACACACACATATCGGTGCAGATCCGAAGTCCGAAGGCCTAAAGGCTCAGTCACACATGATGAAATCATGGCAGTCACGGACCAATGACACAGACCGACGTTTCGCCAAACACATAGGGAGGCAGGCAGGCAGGCTTAGCCGTGTGGGCTTTTGCTAGAGGTGGAACGGCCTGGTGTCAGGATACTGACACCACCAAGCAAGGACAGAGACAGAGAGTCAACCAACCAGGGATGCATACGACGTGCCTCTTCCCTGGACGTACCCTCACTCACCTGTCTCCTCTGCTGTCTCGGCCCGAACAGGTCGTCGGGCAGGTCCTCTCCGCAGATGAGTGTTCCCAAATTGGCTCCACCATGCGGAGGGGGAGGGAACCGCGCCAGAGACGCAAACTTGCGGATGCGCCTGTGTGACCAATGTATGATACGTCGATGGATGGATAAGGACCAGAAGCACATGTGAAGCAGTGTCGTTCTCTCTCGTCTACCCACCGTACCGTGTGGTCTCTGGCACGCCCCTGAGTCTGTATGTCGGGTTTGGGGGGTCAATAGGTGTCGGGGCCACCAAGCCGCTCGTGTCAGGCACTGCAGGAGTGCCGTAATATGTCCTGCGAGTGGCTTGCACGACGTCATCCAGGTATCCCTGAGCAGACGTGGGGGCCACCCTGGCACCTTTCTGGCTCGGTGTGGGCCTCCAAACGCCCTCTCTTCTCGTCCATGTGACGCCAGCAGGCAGCATGTGGGCCCCTGGGCGATTGGCAACGGAACCGAATGGCATGGACACACGGGATGACTCACTTGGGCCGCCCCACACTGACAAGGAACGAGAGACCGTGAGGCTGAGAGACATGTGGATCAATGTCTCGTACCCAGTCGGTCAGGTGGCCCGTACAGCTCTCCCACAGCAATGGCCTGGCCTTCGCGCATCGGCAGTGGAAAAGGCACACCAACAGCAGGACGCTCAACAAAGCCCACTGAAGCTGCATGTACACAGGCAGACAGACAGACAGACAAATGGATGCACACACTGTGCTGCGTCTTGGCGGATGGCAGAACCATCAGCAGCAGTGCCAGTTTGATAGGCATCGATGCCCCTCCCCCCGCTGTATCCGTAGTATCGGCCCGTGCTCGCACCCGCCAGGGGCGCCTCTGCCCTGCTGATCTCATCGTACCCGCCTCGGTATAACGGCTGCGTTGTGTATGGCCTGGTGTATGGAGGCGGCAGCAGCTTCTCACGAGGCGAGACGACCTTGGGGGTGTACACACGCAGGCCTTTGTCGTAATCGCTGTACTCGTGCGAGTTGGGCGACACCTACGAGGGAGGCATAGACGTCTCTCTGTGCTTTCCACATGTGCCTGGACTGGACGCCCTCTTACGTACTGTCTGATTGCGAAAGTTGACGCCCATTCTATCATCATAATCAGTCATCCCAACTCCCGCTCTGGATGGAACGGGACGAATGGACAAATGAGACAGACATCAATCCGCCACGAATGTTGGTTGCATTGCAAATACCTCCCGCGATAATCGAAGTTGCTGTGTGTGTAGACCCCCTTCAGCAGCGGTCCCACCGATCGCTCTCGCAGTGTGTTGGCCTCAGAGTGCTCTGTCCGGTAGAACACTTGCGGCAGGTAGGCCGACGCCATCATGTTGGTCTGGCCGATGCTATCGGCGAATCTCATAGTGCCTATCTGCATGCTCTCCACCTTGTCATCCATCGGCTGCCTGGTCAGCAAGGGCGCCACCGGCAACTCCTCGCCCCTCGGCGTCCGGCTCCCAAACTGAATTGCTGCAGCCGCACACAGTCGATGATAATCCCACCAGAATTGTTACTTACTTGGTGGAAATGGCGACATCACTGCCTCGCCCTGCTCGAGAGTAACAGGTGGCCTCAGCTTGAGCCTGTTGGCCGGCAGCGTTGCAGTGGACTTGGATGGAATGCAGCGCCGCGCCGTCACGGTCCCTTTCGGCCCAACGCTGGCGGTATTCCGTGCAAACAATCCAAGATTCTCACGCTCAGTCAGAGGTGGCCGCAGGGTGGTGTAGTTCTGCTCCTGCCGACTCTGACTGCATTTCAAACTCGCGAGTGGTGCCCTGAGGGAGCGCCGGGAGAGGCTCTTTGACAGAATGTCGCCATGAGGGGTGCCGGGCCGCGGAAATTTCCGCACACCTCCCGACGCCTCCATTCCGCAGAACCTCAGTAGATGGCCGTATGGGGTTGAGCGCTGTCGGCCAAGCTTCAGTTGACGGTCGTGGTGGCCGCTGTCAGCTGCCGGTCCACCTTAACAGTGCAAAGCATGCCCGGTCCTCAAGCAAAAGGTCTTACGCCGGCCTTTGAACGCGCCCTGGTCGTGTGGCGGGCATTGGGGGGAAGGGGGAGGTGGGGGCGCTGCACCGGCCCACTGCATGCATGCAGGTCCCCTTGCTTCTTCGACGTCTGTATAGCGTTTCGCATCGCAATCGTCTTCTCCGAATCGTCCCTTCGTGGACTAGTCTTCGCTAGCTCCCGCGCCGTCCCTTTTTCGCCGAGGACGAAGGGACGAACGGCCTTTCGGTGTGGCAACAAGCGGTGTGTGGCAACAGGTTGGTGAGACGATGGGGCAGGGGTGCACTGGAGTTGTTTGGAGTCACCGTACTTAGGAGAGGAGCTGGGGCTAGCTGAGGCTTTGCTGAGGGGATGGAATGATGTGTGAGAGAGGAGTAATGCTATTCCTTGTCCCCAGGGAGGCGTGTTTTTACCTTGGGGAATCCGATGGGTAGCCTTTCTTTCTCTTCATGTGCATGGGGAGACAGCAGCAGAGCTCAGCTTGATCTCATTGTCTGCCTGTGCGTGTGTCTGTCTGGGTGCAGGTGGCCCCCTGTCCCTGAGGCGGCGGCCGTCTCTGTTGAAGGGCCTGAAAGGAAGGGAGTATCTTAGTGATACTGTCTGTCATCGCTGATCTCATCTATCGCTACAGGAAGGATACACACTCACGCCCATGAGTGTTCGAGAGAGCCAGAGTGTCCGAGGCACGTCCGTGCGCAGCGAGCGAGAGCAGCACAAGCGGGCCTTCTCACCCCCCCTGGCCGAGCAGGAGACTTCGCCCCTCCAGCCGACCACCATCGCGACGCGAGGACTCTCTGTCTTGTCTCAGCTGCTGTCGGGTCACCTGCACTCTGGCGATCTCTTGGTCGACGGCAAGTACCCCGGAGGGGCCGATCGCATCCTCAGCGCGCCCGACTCAGAGTGGGATCAAAACCTGGGGCGTCTCTACTTCTCCACCTGTGCTCTGGTGGCCAACCCATCTGATGGCAGAAAGCGAAAGAACAGTGGCAGTGGGCCTGCGGGTTCGTCTACCTTGGCCGCATCTATCTTCGGGAGTGTGCAGCAGGCCAGCAGTGTGCTGGGCGCCTACAGCACGGCGGCCACGAACGCGCTGGTTGCGGCCAACAACAGCAGCAGTCTGATCAAGTTCGACCCTGTGCCCATCTATGTGGATCCCGAGTATCACCACGAGGACCTGGTCAAGACGAGCAACCTGCCGCCGCCCAGCTGTCTGCCGGTGTTCAAGATATACCACGCTGACGCCCCGCTGGTGCGTGAGAACTTCATCCACAACGGATTCACTCAGACGGAGGGCCACGACTGGCAGATACTCTGGGCGGGGTCGGTGCTGCGGGACACCATCTATGAACAGATGAACGAACACCAAAAGTGGGGAGGGAGGGGAATGGTAGTGGAAGGGGCGGGGTCTAGACAGGGAAAGAAAGAAGGCTAGGCTCGCGTCACACGGGGTGGTGTCCGTGTCTCTCCACTTGCATGTGTGTCTGTCCGATCAATCGGCTGTCTGTCTGTCTGTCTCATTCAGAGTGAATCACTTCCCCGGCAGCACTGAGCTGACTCGCAAGGACCGGCTGTGGTGCTCGTTCGCAGCGATGCGGCGGTACTATGGCGACGAGGTGTTCGACTTCCTGCCCGAGTCGTACATTCTGCCCGAGCAGTACGACCTCTTCGTGGCCGCATACCACTGGTACAGCGGGGTCGGCAGCCCCACAAACTCACCCATTTCCAGCCGCCAGCAAAACACACAACTGTGGATCGTCAAACCTACTTGCTCATCACGGTCAGTCAGCCAGGGAGACGAACGACAGTCTCTTTCTCACGGCTCTTTTCTGTCTCACTGCGTCTCTCTGTGTGAAGGGGTCGTGGTATCTTTTTGCTGCGTGACTTGCGTGAGTTGCCAGGGCGCGAGGAGGGTTGCATTGTGAGTCGGTACATCGACAACCCGTACCTCATCCAGGACCTCAAGTTCGACCTGAGGGTGTACGTGCTGGTGACGGGATTCGACCCACTGAGAGTATACGTGTACAAGGAGGGGCTCACACGATTCGCATCCTCACGATACACTTGTGGCGACCTGTCTCGCTTCAAGCACCTGACCAACTATGCGGTGAACAAGAACGCGGCCCATTACGTGGCCAACAAGGACAGCCGTGTGGACAACATCGGCCACAAGTGGTCGCTGACGGCACTCAACAAACACCTAAGATACATGGGCGTCGACATGCACGTACGTACGGTCGACATGCACGGACAGCCAGCCAGCCATGAGGGAGCACGCTGTGTCTCCGCCCATCCCATTTCATGTATATTTGTGTGTGCAGTCTGTGTGGCGTAAGGTGATGGACGTGATTATGAAGACGCTGCTGAGCATCGAACATACGGTCATCGAAAAGTCTAAGACCACAGTGCCATACAAGTGAGCCAGCTTGTTACCTGACCTACAGATTCAGGTCTCTCTTAAATGCCTCTGTCCTCGGCCTTCCTGCCTCCTGTGTGTCAGGTCGAATTGCTTTGAGTTGTATGGGTTTGACATCCTGTTGGACTCGAACCTCAAACCATGGCTCATGGAGGTCAACCTCAGCCCGTCACTCCAAGCAGGTACCTACATACCCGCACGAACATCGACAGCACCAAAAGTCATGCGTTGATTCGTTCCCTTGGCACCCATACGATATTCAGACACTCCCCTGGACCGGAAGGTTAAAGGCCAGTTGCTGAGTGACGCGCTGAATGTTGTGGGTGTGACGGCCATCGACCGACGGGCACTTAACGAGGCGCGGCACAAGGCGCGAATGCGCAAGATCCACCAGACCAAGACCACCCGCAAGCCTGCCGAGAGGAAGGACAGCAGCGACCGGTCAGACAGGGACGGGGGCGCGACATCACCGTGGGACACCGTGGTGGCCGGAGGGGGCAATGGAAACGGCTGCTCGCCTGACAGTGAGCCGCCCCCGCGCAAACCCATCTGGACGGCATCACGGGCAAAGCTCAACAAACTGGGGAAGAAGCTGACTATACACGTGAGCAATAAGGAATGCAGCACGGAATGAATGCATTTCTGTCGTTTCATTCACGTGATGCGAGAGGCGTCTGTCTTGTTTTGATGTATGTCAGGATCTGACCAGCCGGCAGCTGAAGGTGCTTCAGTCTCTGTTGGAAGAGTTCCGTCGCGCCAAGAACTTCATCCGCCTCTACCCAACACGAGTGTCCGTCAAGCGATACAGACTGCTCTTCTCAGACCAAGCCGTAAGCAGCGAGTGTTGCACTCACTATGCTGCTGGTGTCTCTGATGTCTCTGTGTGTATTCTCCGTCCGTGCAGCAATTCACCCACCTGATGTCAGCCGTGCTGTATCCCGAGACAGCCATCGACCTCAGCCGACTGGCGGCCTCGTCCCACTCCTCACCCAGCCTCCCCCGACACTCGCTGCCTCGCGCCTTCTCCACCCCACACTGCCTCGCCACGCCCATCCGCTCCCGCGACGGCCAGCAGACCGACCAAGGGGAAGACTCCCCCTCACCGCCGGTGTTTCAGACCGCAAAGAAGACCGCATGGGCTGAGGACACAGCTACCAGCAGGGATGGCAGGGACCGCCCGGGCGGAGGATATCGCTACGATGCACCTGAGGAAGGAGGAGAGGAGGAGGGCAACGTCACCGTGCGGCGCTGCCACAATGGCTTTCCCCCCTCTCTGTTCAGCCAATCCACCAGCCAAGGTGGTGAAGATGACGGGCCACTGTTCAGGTGGAACACCACCACAACCACCACCACCAGCAACAACAACAACAACAACAAAAACAGCAGCAGCAGCAGCAGCAGGAGCAATGCAAACATCCCGGCATCCGACGGCGCCCCTGCCCCCGCTCAGTTCTTCACCCGTCGCACAGAGCGGCAGACCGTGCAACCCCTGTCGAGCAGTTTTTCTCTCCAGCCCCCCTCCCCCTTCGACACATCATCTCCCTGCAATGAGGAACAGACTCCTCAGTCCCATCGCCTCAGCACCGCACAGACGCACATCGCAGCCGGGACACAGGGGGAGGGGGGGGCCCACCGACCAACAACAGCAGCCGCGGCGTGGCACGCCGGCGCCAGTGACAGTCAGCAAGACAGTCAGGGCGCTGAGAGACAACCCATATCGCTCACCACAAGTGGCAAAGAGCCTCTCAACCGGCAACCTGCGCAGCTCTTCTCTCATGCGCCGGTCAACCAGGGCCACCAGGGACAGCTTTCGGCCATAGACGGGCAGCAGGGCGAGGCCAGCGGCAGGGAGGGAGACACCACGGCGCGCGCCAGCCCCACGAACCAGCTCATTATCGCAGAGTTGATGTCTCGCTTTGATCTCTTGCCCCCCGCCCCCACACTCTCGGCAACGAGGAGCACAAAGGCCGCACAGAAGAGAGCCGAGCGCAGCCGACACACAGCGAGGCCAACCACAGCGCCGGAGAAGAAGAGCCAAGGAGCGTGCACCTCGCCCCCTCTGCTGGACCTTACCGCCCACGGTGGCACCGCGACCAGCCCCCGACACCGCCGACAGGGCACTTGCGTGAGCGGCAATTCGTCGCCGCGCCCCTCCAGCCCCATGTCTCAACCGAATGGCGGCTCTACGCCGCCCGCAAGCAGAGCAGCTGTGCTGTTCGTTGGCCGGCTGCTGCTGATGGAATACTTGGAGAGAGTAGGGCTTGGCGTCGAGGGGCTCGACGTGAATTCTCGCGGCGCTTTGGCGAGGTCACCTTTGCTGAAGCGGCTGGTCATGTCGACCCAGGGGTTGAGACATGTCAGTGACGGGCGACTCAGCAAAGAGCTGCCGGAGAGTGTCCGTCGACGCCTCCAGCTGTCACGTACACACAGCACGCTCACCGCACACGGCACACAGGACACGAAAATGAGATAGATGTGCATATCATGAATTCATGATGCGTCCGCGACAGAGTGCCTTCCTTCCTTCCTTGCGTGTGCGTACACCTGCTTCATGCATCAGGTCCATATCTGGAACAGATCCAGGGAGTGCAGTCGGCCTTGCGCCACTTCGTGGCCGCGTGGGCCAAGAGTGCACTCCAGGGCTGCCCCGCCGCCCCGCCCCTCACGCCAACCTTGACCGCACTGAGGCTTTACCCCTCGCCGCATATGTCCTTCCTGCTCAACTCGCCGGGCCAGACGGAGAGAGAGGGCAGCGACGACATGGAGGATGGAGAGGCCGACCAGGAGAGCGACACAGGAACTGGTGGGACTGGGTATGGTAATGGTGGTGGGGCTGGGTCTCAAGAATTGGCTGAGAAGCCCCTGTTGAAGTATTTGCCGTACCGCATTGCGGCTTCAACAGATGTACAGGCCCTCTTGCAAGTCAGTAAGAAACAAGAGGGTCAACTCCCTGTCAATCCGATCTCTTTCATCCTGCTTTTATGGATTCTTGTCTCTCTGCGTGTGTGTCCGTTCTCCTGTATGTATACAGTCTCTTCGTTTCATGGCCGCGGGCCAGCTGGAGGACAGGATAGTACAGCTGCTGTCGTCCTACCCCTTCGTTTTTACGCCATCGTCCTCATCGGCGGCCAACAACTGGTCGCCCTCCACCCCACGGCCACAGAGCACAGTCCACATGTCACTAAAGGGCAGCAAACAGACGGCCAGCCCCTTCAACGAGACCAATGACTCGTGCGAGGATGTCTTGATGGTCATGAAACACTTCTTCCCTGAGGGCCTTCAGCGGATCGCCAGCAGCCAGGACGTGTGCCCCCCTTCCCCACAGAGCGCCGCTGAGCGGGAGAAGGACAAATGGCGCAACGGACTGAGAAGGTCGCCCCCGCTGGGCAGCAGGGGCAAAGGCGGCAAGGGGAAGCTCCCCCTTGGGCCGCTCAGCGAGCTGCTGTGGGTGGCCTATGGAGGTGACGGAGACAAGGAGACGGCCAACTACGCACCGCTACTGCCCAAGAAGGGCCGCAAGAAGAGCCGGCGAGATCTCATGCCCGCCCTGCCGCCGTGCCCAGAGGGAGTGGAGGTCGACTTCGACAAGGACAGCCGCAAGGTCGACCTCAGGCTGGCCGGGGGACTGGATATGTCGACGACAGCAGCAGCAGCAGCAGCAGCAGCGCCAGCGCCAGGAGCAGGGGCAGAGGCGAGAGACAGCGTGCTGACAAGGACATCGCGAGCAGCGCCATCCAACTCGACGCCCAATCTTGGTGTCCAAAACATGAACCCATCGCTTTCTCTGTCGCAGCTGCCCGGTAGCTTCCGGTCTCTGTCCATCAACTATGCCCTCGACGCCCCCCTACCGCTGCCATCCCAATATGCACCTGTCCCTCCAAGCATGAGTTTCCAGCCATGGTCCTCCCTTGGAGGACATGGCAGCAGCCACCTGCCCACCCCACACTTGACGCCCGCCCCGTCAGCCAATGCCTTCCTCTCTCCGGGGGAGCCACCGGACACCAACATGATGCAGTACATGGGCAGCCGCGGGGTCGCGCACTCGTCGTATGTCCAGGACAACGTGATGGACGTTGCCAGGGATCAGCAGCTTCCCTTGCAGCACGAGCATTCGACCAGTGCCTTCTTGGTGCAGCACTCGACGCCATTCCTCCCACCCCATAGCCACCAGCAGCACAAGCTCAACATGCTGCCTTCTGGACCAGAGCTGTCATTGGCCAGCACGACGGAGCACAAGCACAAGCAGCAGGCGAGTGGAATCCTGACGTCCCCGAGCAATCAGCTTCCCCTCTCCCCCTCCGGCCCCCAACACGCACAGGCCAAGCCGAAGCTGCACCAGGCTGCTCTCACCCACTCTCCCTCCCCTGCCACTAATCCCCTGCTGCCTCCGTCTTACCCATCCTTCTCTCCATATATGCATCTCCAGCACCACCTCAGGCCCTTCCCACCACCCAGGCCGCATCATTTTGGTGCGCCGGCCGCCCGATTGGTGAATTACCACACTGGCAACGCCACTTATCCGCCGGTTGAGAGGGAGGGGACAACGAAGCGGCCGATCGCTCAGCATGGGCATGTGGAGGCTGCGTACCCGCCTGTTTGGCCACCCCATCACCCAAACATGCCGTCGTACACCCCGCACCCCTACCAGGCAGCCTACATGCCCTCCCCCTTCCACTTCCATTTCCACACGGGCCCAGCCCACCACAACCAACCCTCATAGATTAGATGGAAAGACAGACAGGCAACCCACCCACCTTGAGGGACGGAGGGAGTGAGGGAGCAAGGCGTGGGTGGGGGGGGTGGGTGTAGGCGAGGGAGGGACGCTTCTCCGTAACGTACGTACGTCTATCTTGTCTTACGCATTTTGTCATGGTCTTATTCATGCATACCTGAGAGTGTCGTACTGCTCGCATGCAGTCCGTGTCTCGTCTCTGTCTGGCGTACAATACACGTGTGTGCGCGGTTGAGACATGCATCGAAGGCATGCCGGATGCATGGGATGCGTGGCCGTGGGCGTGAATGCAATCAATGCAGTTCGTACATATAGATAGACAGACACATATAGATAGATATACCTATAGGTACGTACGTACGAGTAATGATCTGTTCTGCCTGCCTGTCTCTGTCTGCCTGATGGATTTGATTTGCCCCGCTTCCCCCCTGCCTGAGTGGGGTGGTTTGGACTGGATTCAAACTTCTCTGGGTTGCTTGAGGAATCAGCTGGTGGCAATGAACAAACGTTTGGCCGCCTGATTGGGGAGGCACAGCGAGTGGGAGACATGAGACATGTGGCATCAGGTGAATTCACTGGCGCTGTCACATCCGCGAGTGTTGCGTTGGTGTGGCTTGTGTGCATCAATCATAGCCTCCCTCAATGGGGCAGCGAATTACTTACGTAGGAAGGTGCTTTAATTAATACGAAGGTGAGCACGTCAGGACTATCAGTCTCCCCTGCCCTCCCCATCAACGCCGCACCACACGTGTGTACAGGACACACATACGTATTTATGTATGTATATGCATGTATGTCTACGTACAGATATCCACACACCAGCCACACATCGCAACGCAGCAGCTACCAGCGAGCTCACTCTCGTCCACATACACCTCATGCAACGATGGCCATGATGCACAGCCACACACACCACTCGCGCGCGCACAGAAGGTGTCCGCAGGTTCCAGTAGGAAATAGGTGGCGTGCTTGGCACACCACACATCCACAGACCCTCGGTCAGGCAGGCAGGCAGGCAGACAGCCAGACAAACCATGAGCATCACGATTCAAGGACACTTGACATAGAGATACAGACGAGTCAGTCAGCCACACAGAGGGGAGGCACTCCATGGATAGTGAGCACACTCGTGACACTTCTACAGAGTCCTTCCTTCCTCGCTGCACTCAACCAGCCGTCTGTCGCGGTGTGATCCCCGGGGCATGTCATGTGAGCACACTGGGCGGCTGGCTATCCAAACGTCTGTTTTGCAGCCCAAACCGCCCCTGGCACCACATGCATCCCCTCACCTTTACCTACACCACACACACATGCACTGCTCTCCCCTTTCCCCTTCCCCACACACACCGACGCGAATCACACACGCATGTAGCACACTGCCTGTGTAGGGGGCGTGCACAGCACCACCCACACACTTGGTCTAGGTGTTCTGTTGCTGGATCGGCAAAACGCGGCCCCCAAAATTGACCCCCGTCCGTCATGAATGTACGCAGACAGCCAGACACGCATACATGAGTCGGTCAGTCAGTCGGCCACACACAGAGTTTTGTGCACAGATGCTATGCTGGTCGGTCGGCGAAAAAAGGGACGGCACGACGAAAAGGAAATGACACCACCTGACACACACCACACCACACCACACACATGACAACAGGTGAGCTTTGTATCCACCCCACCCGCCCACCCCCTGTGTGTGCGTGTGGTGTTGTCTATCTCACCGGTGTGTGGTGGCTCCGGTATGAGTGTCTACGCGCCCCGCTGGACCTCGCCGAAGAGGCCGCCGGTGGCGGGTTTGAAGTTGGGGTCCTTGAGCTTCTTCTCGCGCTTGGCCACCACGGCGTGGCCCATCGAGTGGTAGATGCTGTTGTACTTCAACGCACGCTGCAGCCGGGCCTCAGACATCCTGCAGTCACATCAAACACCAGACAGAGACACGGCATCGCACATGAGTAAGCCCCTCCTTTCTCCTGCCCCAGTGCATCCCATGACTGTGTGGCCCTGCTCACCTCTCCAGGTGGCCGTCGCCTGTCATCAGCCGCGCAGCGACCGAGTAGGCGCGTTTGGTGTGGCCGTCCAGCTTGCCCGACAAGCCCGATGCCTCCTTCTCGAGCTTCTCGTGCACCTTCTTCTGCTTGTCCGTCGTCTTCTCGCCACGGACGTTCTGAATGAAGTTGCCGACGTTGTGGGTCGTCCACAGGAGCATCGGAGCGACGAAGGCCATCTCGTCAACGAGGGAGTGCTATCAAAGAGGGAATGCTATCAAAGAAAGCTGCAAGAGGCAAGCGAAGTGACTGCAAGGCAGAGGTGAACCGGGGAAGTTGCCGGAAGGAGGAGAGAGAGACAGGAAGGCGAAGTAGTGCAAGAAGTGAAATGCAGGAGAGTTTCAGTGGGGTTTGTGGGACTAGGGTTCACTGGTCACTGGACTCTGAGCTCGCAATCCGGAGAACTTGTCTTCTCCGCTTCTGGGTTGTTCGTGGTCGGGCGTGAATGGCTCGAGTGATGATGCGGCAAGCGGCGTCACTGGCGACCAGAGGAAATGGAACGGCAACCACCGGTGTGTCAGGACAGACGACAGACACGCCTCGCAGCTTGTCACTCAGACACGAGGCCCCGTCCAATGACCCTCAGCAGCATGAGCAACCATCAGGACGGGCTGCGAGCGAAGGTACATGAGTTAAACCAGACTCGCCGGGATGCCTGACCTGACACCGGCTCTGGTCTGGTTGCATGTGGTGTGATATGCAGGTGGGGGGACGGTTTTTGCGCCCACGTTTGCCGGCTTGGCTGATCCGAGGATCCAGATACCCGCACTAGCCCCGTCGCAGTTCCAGCTGCTCAAACTCATCCGCCTGCAGAAAAAGGTCGGCAACCCAACACTGGGTGAACCAACGAAAGAAACCCCTGCAGCGCAAGGAAGTGCCTTCCTCTTGTCGCTGTCTGGCGTGCAGGTTCGTCAGGTGATTCGTCGCGAGACTCGCATGTTTGGCCAGCACTGGAAGCACGGCTTCATCGACATCGACGTCGAGCGGTACGCGGCCGACGGCGGTCAGGAGGAGGAGGGCGGTGGGGCCGCTGAGGGGGGTGCATCTGACGAGCACCTGGCCACGCAGAGCAGCTGCAGCCCTCACATGGCACCCCACGATGCACTGACGGATGTGCCCGAGAAGAGCGTAGTGCCCAGCCCTGTACCAGTCGACGACGTCCACCATCAGACAGAGGCGACTGAGCCGCCGCCGCAGGATCCCCCCTCGAGCAGCGCTGCCCAGGAGCCATCGTCGAGCAGCGCCGCCATCGATGAATCAGGTGGGTCAGGGGCTGGTCTAGTGGGTCAGTCAGGTAGTTGCAGTGCACGGCACGACCAACAGGGAGGGAGAGGAAAGCGGGATAGACAGACAGACAGATAGATAGATGGGGGGGTTGTGTGTCAGCACCTGTATTGTATGTGTGAGAGTGTCTGTGTCTGTGTCTGTGTGTGTGGCAGAGGTGCCTTCCATGTTGGATGTGGAGCGTGCCCGTACGGTGGAGAAGGCATGTGACCTCGACCCAGACCCAGAGCTGGTCAGTCAGTGAGCGAGGAAGCAACGCAGGCACCTTCTGACACGGCTCATTCACACGTCTCGTCTGTGTGTTCACCTCACCTGTGTCACCTGTGCTGCGCGTCGGCATGCAATGCAGGCTGCAGAGCTGAAGAACATCAACGTGCTCTATTACCGAAACGAGGGTCTGCGGGGCACGACGGCCTACCCCCCACGAGACCACCAGGGGGCCAACAGGGGCGGCCGACGGGGTCGGGGAGGCAGGGGCAACACGGGAGGAGACGACAGATTCGCCATGCGTGCAGAGGGCGGCCAGAACCGCCCCTCCTACCCAGCCCCATCCCCTCCGCTCCCTCCAGGCGTGCCGCCGCCGCCTCCCTCTAACGGTGGTGGAGCTGGATGGCCCATCGACCCGGCCATCCAGTCGTACCAGAAGCGGCTGCCGATGGGTCAGGGGGGCATCCCTCCGCCCCCTCCGCCCCCGCCCCCGTCAGATTCGGCTGCCAGCAGCCCCCCATCGGTCCCCTTCCTTCTCCCGGCTCAGATTCAATCGCTCAGCCAGCTGCTCGCCGCCCAGCCCACCCTCACGGCTAGCTTCCCCCCTGCACAGCAGGAAATGGCGCTCTCCGGGGGCACTCAGGGCGGGGCGGCGAGTCAGCTGCCCCAGCTGCCCATGGGGCAATCTCTTAGCAGCATGGTGTCGTTTGCTAGTACTGGTCTCAGCGACGCGGGTGTTGATATGTATGCCAGTGGCTCAGCAGCACCTCAGTCGTCGGTGTATGGTGGTGGGCAGATGGACACGCCGGTGTCGCGGCAGATGATGCGCGGCGGCCGGCGGGGCATGCATGAGGGAAATAGGGGGCAGAGGAGCCGTGGGTGGGAGAAGGACGGCTTCTCGTTCGGGACGACCTTCCATTCTGCGGGTGGGTGAGCAAAGCAAACGAATGGGCTTGTGTTGAGGGTGCCACTCAGTTCCCCCCTGCCACCCACGTTCATCCTCGTCTGTTGTGGGCATGTGTGTGCGCATCGACGATCCATCCATCCATCAGGTACATGCAATCCCTGCAAGTACGAGTGGACGAAGGGCTGTCACCTGGGCATCCACTGCAGGTTTTGCCACCACGGTAAGCCTCCACACTCGTGTGGTGTGGTGTGCACAGGTTACAAGGAGGGGAGGGCAGCGGAAGATCATTTGGTGATGGTTGTTGCTTTGTTCAGAGTCGCATGCGCCTGCTGGTGCGGTTCGCATCAAGCCCGACGAGGAGACGCTCAAGTCCTCCACCGTCAGACCCGAGATCATCCTGAAAATGAGTAACAAAAAGAAAGGTCCGTCTCGTCACTCACACCCACATCACACCACACCACACCCGGTAGGGCCACATGTGTATGTGTGTATTGTGTCTTCCGCGGTTCGTTCGTCAGACGATGCGGGTTCCACGAGTGGCACTCTGCAGTCGGTGCCGTCTCCCTCGCCCTTCACCACCACCACCACACAGCCCTCCCCCTCACCCTTCAGCCAGCCCGCATCGCCACCCTTCAATCTGGACTTCTCTTCGCCCCGGAGCTCGGCCGCCCCGGCATACGACGTGTCCGACCCCCAGCAGCTGTCGGGGTGGGCCACGCCCATGTCACACTCATCGCCACAGCTCAGCGCTGCCTCCGGCACTCAGTATGATGGCACTACTGCCATGATGCGGCTGATGGGGTTTGTGGCGCCCCCCAGTGCCCCTCAGCCACCGCCCCCCTACCACATCCACGGCACCAGCGGACACGATGCTGTACAGAATAGCCTGCTGCAGCTGCAGCTGCAGCTGCAGCAGCTGCAGGGAGGCGCTGCTGGCAGCGATACCAACTCTCAGGGTGAGCAGTCTGACGAAGCACACATACACATACACACAGAGATAGATATACACATATCAACTTTTGTATGTAACCTACCTATCTTGTTTTCTGTGTCTGTCTATGTGCGTGATCCTGCCTGACAGGGTCTTCCCCGCCCCGTCCCCCTCCCCCTCCCCCTCCTCCTTCGGAGTGAGCGGGTCGAGTTTTCCTGTCAGTCACAGATAGCGCTCCTGGCCTGGATAAATTGGATGTGTGCATAGCATAGCTTAGACGGACGGACGAACCCTTGGATTGATCTGATTGGATGCATAGCTCACGTGTGGATGGATGGATGGATGGATGGATGGATGACCGTGGGGGGGATGTGTGTGCTTTCCGTACCCTGGTTGCAACTTTGGCTGTAATTAGTGGAGCCCTGAGCCAGGGATGAAGAGGGTGAAGGGGGCATATAAATGGGGGCAGGGCAGGGCAGCACAGAACAGCACCAGCTACATCACGGGGCGTGTGTGCGGTGCGGCTACATGCTCTCTCCTCTCCGTGTGGGTGTCGTATCCGTCCGCGGCTGTCTTTTCTTTCTGTCTGTCTGTCTGTTGGTGTGGTGTGGTGTGCGTAGATGCATCCACGGACTCACGAACACGGGCACAACTGTGTGTCGATATCAAGCAGTTGCTCGATCAGTGAGTGAGTAGCCGACGAGTGTCAGACACAACCACCCACCACGCACCCAGCTGTGTCGATGTTGGGAAACCCCTTCGAGCATCACATGCACGAAGCTCCGCGCGACAATGCAGCCGATAATTCGGGGCCATGAATTGATGGAACACATGGGGGGCTGCAGCAAGTCCAACGTACAACAGATACGCCAGGCCGTTTGCTGATTTGTCGACTGGTAAGCATCACCTCTTGCCATCGCTGCTCAAATCAGCAATGCACTTCACTGTTCTCTTCCCGCGTGGCCTCATTCGCCAGAAAGCCTTCAAATCCCCTCTGTCCTTCCGATCGACTCATCTGCGAGCTCAGCTTGGAGAGGGGGAGGGACCTTGTAGGCAAACCTCATAGATCAAGACAAGATGGCATCTTGACAGCGGCTGTCTGGCGTGCGTTCGCCTTGCCCTTGAGCTGATGATGCCGCCATCTTTCTCCTCCCCCAGCACTCAGCAGGTCGGGCAGCAGCGTGGAAGGACCAACGACGACATCACCAACACAGCCTGCTCCCATGACGGCGCTGTACGCGCCTTCCTCCCTCCTTGACATCTGCCTCGCCAAGCTCAGCCGCTGCATCCGCTTGCACTATCGTCAGCTGTCGCGCCTGCCCGAGAAGCTGACAGACGCTTTGCTGTATAAGATGGTGTCGCACAACACGCTCAACGACAACGTCCTGGCGCGGTCGCTGACCCTGGACCGGGAGGAGCTGCTGCTCTACACGTGCACCAACATTCGCCGGGCGGTGCTGCTCATGATCGGACGCAACTGCCCCAGACTCAAGGTCCTCGTCCTGCAAAACTGCAAACAAGTCGTCAACAAGGTCAGACCTACCTCGGCATGCCGGGGGGCCGAAGATCCGATCCACACACATCCATACGCTCATGGAAGGGATGCAACCATGGGATGGGGGCTTGTCTGTCGTGTGGGTTGTGTGAGTGCAGGTGGTTCGGTCCATTTTGCAGGGTTGCGGTGAGCTCCGTGTGCTCCGTCTGGATGGGTGCAAGAACGTGACGGACGGTGCCTTCCTGCCCCGGCCGTTTGAGATGTCGCTGGGCCTGCTGTCGCTGGAGGTGCTGAGCCTCTCGCGGTGTCCGCAGATCACCGACGAGTCCATCCTGTGCATCCTCAAGGCATGCAGCCGCCTGAGGTCCATCGACCTCAGCTACTGCAGACACATCACCGACAGCCTCGTGGGCGAGGTCCTCACCTGCATCGGGGGCAACCTCCAGACACTCGACGTGTCCTTCTGTGCGGGGGTGACGGACGAGGCCTTCATGGCGCTCACGGGCGGGTCAACGCCCTCACTGGTGGAGGTGGGTGTGGGTGGCTGCAGGATCAGCGACGAGGCCGTCTACCGCATTGCTGCGGCCAGCCCGTTGCTCGAGTCCATCGACCTGAGGTGGTGCAACCATGTCACCGATGACGGTAAGACAAAGAAATAGGGTAGGTGTGTATACCCACCCATACACATACACCCATGTCATGTCATGTCATGTCATGTCATGTGTGGTGGATGTGGTGTGGTTGTTTCATGCCATGCAGGCGTGCTGCGTTTGTCGCAGATGTGCTGCCATCTGCAGACGGTCTGCCTCAAAGGCTGCCCTGGTACGTACGTCATATCATCCAACGATTGATTGCCTTGACTTCTCACTCACGCATACGTACCGCGTGACTCTCTGTGTGTGTCTGTGTGTGGCCCTGCCCTGCCCTGACAGGTCTAAGTGATGCCAGCATAGCCGCACTGGCACGGCTACCGAAGCTGCGAGCAGGTGAGCTGCAAACAAACAGACTTTCCGTTCAATTCATACGCTATAAAGGACACATGTGTCTGCCTTTATCGTTAATGTGGTTTGTTTCGCCAGTTGACGTGTCATGGTGTTTGAGCATTACGTCACAGAGCTTCGTGTACCTCAGCACGCCGCCCGTGCCCTCCCTGGAGCGACTGGACCTCTCGTTCTGCTCGACCTACTTCCTCACCCACGGCCCCCCTCCTCTCCCGTCCCCCTCCCCACCGCCAATCTCACGCGGCCCCCGCACCAACAGCCCACCCAGGTCACAGTCGGACGCACCTGCACCAGGACCGCCCCCACTCCCACACGCAAAGAGCGAGGGTTCCAGGAGGGTGGGGCGGTCGACAAGTCACACAGTGACGTCGTCCGGCAAGATCCCAGTCCCTCTTCACAGCCACGCCCAGTCCCCTGCCTTTGCGGGCGTGGGTGTGTCGGTGCGGAGCTCTCTGCCGGCGGTGCTGCCGCCCACTGGGCGAAATGGTGGTGGAGTGGGTTGGTCGTCGAGCTGCTGCAGCGCCAGCAGCAGGGGGAGCAGCCCCCGTCAGCAGCCCCAGTCGTGCCAGGCGTCGCCCCAGAAGGCGGCCGTCACTGCGGGGGCATCGTCATCGAGCGATGTCAAGGCGGAGAGGGATGAGCTCAATGCCCTCAGTCTTCCCCCCGTAACTCTGCCGATCCCCGAGGAACGGACACAGGAGAGCGACGGACCTGCCAGCGACATCGAGCCTCCCGTCCAGCAGCCACCCGCACCCCAGAGCCGGCGCCCCCCTCCCCCTCAGCTGACGGTTGGGAGCGGCGACAGCTCAGGGCCCGACCGACGGACATGGCGGGCCGCAGCAGACAGGGAGCCGGACTACCAGGTGCCGTTTCAAGACGAGTCGGACACCGACAACTATGAGGGCGGCCGGGTGGTGGTCAACGGGGGACCGCATCAACTGAGGGCGTCCCTGCAGCAACGGCACCCCTCTGCGCCGCCCTGGAACGTGGCGCTTCAGCGACTGATCCAGGCGCACTGCAACACGCTGCAGCAGCTGCTGCTCGACGGACTGGACGGTGTGGTTGACGACTCGGTGGTTCGGGCGCTGTCGTGGTGTGAGCGGCTGGACAACCTGGCCATGTGCATCGATGGGCAGCTGCAGACACCCACACTCATCGGGTGAGCGAGCTACACGGGTGGGGTGGGTGCTTGATCGTCTCGTGTGGCTGTTGTTCACGTGTGTGTGTGTGTGTGTGTGTGATAGTTTGGTGGGGGAGTGCTGCCCTCGTTTGGTGAGCCTGCACCTTGATATGGCGTCCACCACCGCCGAGAGCCAAGATGTGATCCTCAAGCAACTCCACAAGGTGGGAAGGGTCGGGGTGGGCCAGACAGAGACAAAGGAACGCCCTGGCCTCCTTTGTGTGTGCTGCATACATATGTCACGCCACGTCATGTAAGTGTGTTTGTGTGTGTGCTGCGTGTGTGTACTGCAGTACCGCCATTTGTCGAGTCTGTCGATCCGCTGCAGCACGTCTGGCGGACTCACGGACCAACAACTGATTAACACACTTACGTGAGCGAGGCATGATCTTCTCCCGAGTGAGCCATGTCTGTCTGGCTTGTGTCTCCCTCCGTTCCGTCGTCAGCGATCGCAACGGTGAGACGGCCGCCTCATTAGAGTCCCTCTACCTCTACAACGCACGCAGCCTCACACCCGCTGTCTTCACAGTGAGCGGACCACACAAAATGACCAATGCCCTCCAACCATGCATGCGATGTGTTCATGCGCTCATGCTGCCCTTTGTGTCTGTTGTGTCACCCCATCCCCCCAGGTGGGCGAGGACGTGTGTCGTGCGGCCTTCAAGAAGCTCCAGACCCTCCACCTCTCAGACGCTATCCAAATCGATGATGACGCTATCAAACAGGTACGTAGGTAGCTGGGGCACACAGCATAGGCACATCACATACGAGAGACACCGACGGACACGGCGAAGCTGCCGTGAGTCTGTAGTCTGTCTGTCTGTCTGCCTGTATATGTCTGTGCAGCTGGTTGTGCTGGTGCCAGTGCTCCAGAGCATCGAGTTGCGTCACTGTCCGCTCCTCACCCAACAGTCGGCGACACACCTGCACAAGTGCAAGGTGCTCCGGAGTGCCGTCTTCGCATCCACACACTTCAAGAGAAAAATGGTACGTACCGTACCGAGAGAAAGCGAGACGACTCGACAAACTGGGACAACGCATGGCCATATGTGCGGTGCGGGCCCTGTATGTGTCTGTGTGTATGTGTATACGCAGGATCGCACAGCGTCGGCGCATCCGGCCGCCCCTCCGCTGAGCCCTCACACGGGCCCGCTGCCCCCACCCAAGCAATGAGCACGACCCAAGCTAGGGAAGGAGCCGTGGATGGAAGCCCGGGGCGCGGCGCTCAGTGGTTGCTGGTGCAGACAGATGACTCACTTTTTGTTTAATAAGGCAAGGCACGCTGGATGTCTCGAGAGAGACCTAGACAGCGCGCCGATTGAATGCATACCGCTGGCGATTCATGACTTACCCCCATGTTTGTTGCATACCGCCAGCGCCACACGAAGGTGCAGCGGAATGGTTGGGATGGTCAGGTGGTGGCAGAGCAGAGCATAGCGTGGATCGGATCGGCAGCGGTATGTATGTATTGCATGGCGGAAGGAAGGAAGGGTGAATGAGTTTGTCTAAGGCCTGCCTGACTGAGTGGAATGTGTCACATGGTCTCCCTGACGATCAATGACATGTATGTCACTCTCCGTGTGCACTGCTTGCCTACTTAAGCAAGGCAGCGAGTCTGTCAACCAATCGTCGAGGCATCGAGGCGGAATTGTCCAGGCATACATTCAACGAAAAATGAATGAATTCAGTCCCTCTCATTTTTTCGAGCTCGCGTCCAGGGAGAAAAAGGTGGTAGTGCTAGAATAGTGTATTTTCAGATGGATCCGCATGCTCCAACTCCACGATTCATCGCTGCTGAGGCGCGTGGTGGCCACCACGGTGCACCGACGAGTAGAATCATCCATGCAGCGCCCCCTCAAGCGCCCCAGGAGGTAGGTACTCACAGCCGCGTCACGGCACCCATAATTGCTGCCATATGCACTCTACATCTCCTCTTTGTTCCTTATTGTATGCCGTATACAGCCTGGTGTGCCACAGACGAGAGGCTCTGAGTCAGTGACGCATACAGCAGCCGGAGGAGCGGATGGCGGCATTGCAGACCATGAAGACCTGCCCCGGCCATCACTTGCTTCGGCATCGCGAGAGGCCCTGGCGCGGCACAGCCACTCACACGTGTATGACGATGAGTCAGCCGAGGTGCGCTATGATAGGGACGAGAGGAGCGCGGGCGGTGTTCCCGTGAGGGTCACATCCACGAGGCCGGTCGCCTATGACCAGCTGCCGTTGCATCGGGTGTCGCCGCCACCCCTATCGCAGTACCAGCACTCGGACGACACCAACATGCGGGTGCGGGTGCGGTATGTCGAGAGCCCACGGCGGTCTCCGTCGCCACCGATGGCGAGTGACCAGCCCGACCCACAGAGCTCGACGGACGCCTTCTGTCAGACCCTGCAGTCGATGCGGGCATCCCTGGCGGCGAGGCGGCAGCAGCTCAAGGCCAAGTACCCCCAGCTCTACCACCAGATGGGCCAGGAACCCGTCATCGGCGAGGCAATACACCATCATCACCACAGCCACGTTCACACGGATGAGGGCATCGCCACACAGACAAGGGCTCACGTGGCTGCCGACGACCGTCTTCCTGCTCGGCCATATCCCTATGTCGGCGTCAAGCCACCACTGGCCCCCAGGCCGCCTCCGCTATCTGCGAGGGGGCTGCTGCGTGAAGACGACCAGGCGAGCGGGACGGCGCCATACACGTTTCGTGACGACAGCATGAGGAGCACCCATGACGACACCCACTTCCGTCATCGCCCCACGTCCTTCACCCCCCCTGCTGCAGTGGGTCGGCGGTCCACCTACGGCCCTGCCAGCCCACCCATGGAGTACATATCGCACCACCAGCCAAGGCCAGTGCCCCCCTCCCCCTCTTTGGGCCCGTCTGACGGCCGCTATGCCCCCCGCCGGTCGCCCTCCGTGCCCGCATCGGTGCACACCCACCACGTGACGGGTCACGTGTCGGCGCCTCTCCTGTCGGACAGGCAGGAGCTGGAGCTGCAGCGGGAGGGGTCGCTGCAGCTCCGCATCCGCCGTGGCGATAGAGGCATGGGCATGGCGCCATCACAGCCACCCACCGGCACACGGATGCTGGTGAGTCCGTCTCGGGGGCAGAGGGACGGTGTGCTGCGGGTGACGGTGAGAAGACGGCCTGACGAGGAGGCCACCGACCGGACGGCACAGTATGGTGAGAAGGGAGAGGAGAGGGGACGGTTCTCGTGTGCAGTGATTGCTGTATTGCATTCCTGCGATGGATGGACTGTCAGATGTGTTGGCGCGTACGTTGGTGGAGTATCTTGAGGCGCAGCGGCTCAAGGACCTCTTCATCGGATGGAAGGTCAGTCAGGGGCGGCATGCTGGCTGCTCGTTGACCAGTGCCTGTCTGTGTGGACGTGTGTGTATGCGTGTGCGTTTGTCAGGCGTTGCTGCACGAGCGCCAGCGGTGGCGCCGTCGACTGGAGGCGGCGTTCGTGACGTGGAGCCTCTACCACGAGCTCAAGGCGAGAGACAAAAAGGTCGTGTCATTCTTCCGCAGCCGTGCGATGCACCGGGCCAAGTGGGAGGCCTTCTCAGAATGGCGACAGGCCACACGTAGGCGGACAGACAGAGCCCAGCACAAAACGAAAAGCAGGTTGATCCGATCCATGGCGTGGATGGGATCCATGCGCTTGTGTCTGTCTGTGTGTGTGGGGGTATGATCCAGTTCGTGAGCAGCGTTATCGTGACAAGCAGCGTCTCAACATCATCGAGCGTCTGCGGGCGTGGCAGTCGAGGGCACACCGCAAGAGACGCAGACGGCAGACTGTCCTCACACTCCACCTACTCAAGGTAAGGTGGGCGAAAGAACAAGCCACACCGACACAACACGCCCATCGATCCACGAAACCGAAATGCTCTCTGTATACAGGGGGAGCGTATGCGTCAGGTGTTGTTCGACGCGTGGCGGAAGTGGGCAGCCGAGAGGGCCTTCGCCAGGGAGGGGGCCCGCGACATGTGCCGCCGACGCTCACACACCCTCGGCTCCTCAGCCCTCCGACAATGGCACACGTGGGCACGATCCAGACGGCTGAGGCGACAGCGGCTGCGAGAGTGGGAGGAGAACTCGGCCGCCACACGCGTGCATGAGGGTCTGTTGAGGTGGCACCACTACGCCATGCTGCGGCGGGCTGTGCGTCGGCGGTCTGAGGCGGTGGTCATGTCGGTGTGGGGACAACGGTCGCGGGACGCCATACACAAATGGGCACAGTGGACCGGTGAGAGGGACAGGGAGAGGGAGGGAGGGAGAGACACAGACTGACAAACAAACGCATGTATGGGTGTCTGTCTATTGTGTTGTGTGTTTGTGAGTAGTTGGCCGTCAGTGGAGTCGTCAGAGGTGCCGCCTCGCCACCTCCCACTACCGTTTGTCCCTCATGGCCCAGCACCTCCACCAGTGGCAAGCCAACGCCACGGCGCTCAGCAGGCAACACCAGAAGGAAGCTGCCGCCGTACGTGTCTATGCACACACACACGCACGTGTGGATGGACATATGCCGCATCGCATCATGTGTGTGCCCCTCCCCTTGGTCTGTCTGTCTGTGTGTGTGTTTGCCAGGCGAGCTACCGTGCGCGTATAGTGTTGGAGCGGATAGTGAGTGTGTGGCGGGTGCCGGCCAGACACGGCAGCGACCGCAGACAAATCGCAAACCTCATGCACACATCACAGGCAGGGGGGCAACGAAAGAAATCATACACCAACTGAACACACACAACATCTCCCTCTTTCATCTTGTTCTTCGTGTGTATCAGGTGTGTCGTTTGCTCAAGTTTTGCTTCGACGTGTGGCGGACGTGTGGGCGGCGGTCCGCCAAGGTGGCGGCCATGCGCATGCGGCTCGACGCCAAGCGAAGGAGGGAGGCATTGCAGCGCCTGAGACAACACAAACACCGCATGGCTGGGGCAAAGGTACAGACACACAGACACACACAAGCCAAATCCACCAGTGGATTTGATCGCACTCATTCTCTCTCTGACTCTCCATGTGTGTGTGCCAGCGTCTGGCTGCCATTGGTGGTGAGGTGTCCTCGCGACACGCCAGCCGTCTGGTGGGTGCGCTGTGGCGCTACTGGCGGACCAAGCAGCGTCAGTTCTACGTGGCCGAGCGGGTGCTCATCCCCGCGAAGCGCCTCGCCTTCGCCAGGCTCCTGTTCGACGCATGGCGGCTCGTCACACAGCACACAAAGGCACTCAACAGCATCAGGTGGGTGCCCCAGGACAGACACGTTTACACACTCCCATCTGTCTGTCTGTCTACTGCCAGCCGCATCGTCGGCCGCCGGCTGCTGAAGCACTCGCACAGCCGACTGTCGGAGTTCTCGGACGCCATGGCTGCGCGCACACTCGCAGCATCAGAGAGGCTGCAGCTCATCAGAGGACGGCACACTCTCAACACGTAAGTCACGTCACCTTCACACACACACACAGCCAAGGCACACACAGATCCCTCCCTCCCTCCCTCCCTCCCTCCTCCGTCGCTGATCTGATTCAGGTGGTCCCGATGGGTGCATGGCTTCACTCACGAGCAGACTCGCCGCCAGTCGGCCTCGTGCCACTGGGACATGCAGCTCAAGCGCGTCTCGTTCGCCAGCCTCCTGCAGGCACTCCGCCAGGGCAAGGAGCAACGGCTGCGGCTCTCACAGCACCTCGGCGTGTATGCCAGCATTCCCCTGCGAGACCTGTTTGCCCGGACCTTCAAGTGCTGGCGGTACTGGGCGCTGGTGCAGAGGGGGCTGATGGACAAGAGCGAGGGGCTCGGGCAGAGATACCAACAGCGGCTCACCAAGACGTAGGTTATGTGAGGGGCGGGAGGGGGGATGCATGTGTGTGTGTCATCGGATGTGGCATGGTCGGTGTGTGTATCACATTCTGTGTGTGCGTGTGCAGGTGTTGGTCTGAGTGGCGTCAGATGTATGAGCGGCAGGGGGTCCTCAACACACGCGTGGCGGCATTCCTCTCGAGGTGGAACAAGGCAAAGCTCACGCTCTACTTCAAAGGATGGCTCAGGTCACCCACACACACCCACACACCCACACACACAGCCCTGTGTGTCACTCCTTCTGCGCGTGTGTTGTCCTTCCTGGTTGGTTCATTCATTCAGTGTGGTAGAGCAGCACACGGCCACCGTGTCCGCCTTAGAGCACCGTTTGTCGGGTGTGCGTGAGCGTCAGCTGGTGGCCCACGGGTGGCTGGGTTTGCTCAGACACCGCCTGCAGCAGATACAGAGGAAGAGGGCCTGGGACATACTCTTCAACAGGTAGGTGTGACCTTGTGTTTTGATGTCTGGCCGTCTCTCTCATTCATACGGCTGTGATGCGATGCGATCACGTGTGTCTGCAGCGATTGTCGTGTGCTTGAGTGTCGGGCCTTCGAGGCATGGAAATACTTCGTCCAGAGACGGGTCTGTGCATACGAGCAGGCAGGATCTTCGCTTTATGTCTGTGTATGTGGGCCGTTTCGTTTGTGCTGTGCAGGTGTTGCTGCGTCAGTTGGGTGCGGCTGTGTCCTGTCGGCAGGCCCAGCACACATTCAAGCACTTCTTCACCTACTGGAAAGACCTCACACACCACGAGGTAAGACAGCCCACTCACTCACATGGCCACACAGGCGAAGGAGGTTGCTCGAAAGACTCTCTTGTGTGATGTGTGTCGCAACAGCACCAGGTCCGCGAGTGTGCCGACGCCTTCCACCTCGCACAGCTGCACAGCAAAGGCCACAGAGCCATACACACATGGCAGGTAACACACACACACACACACACAATTCTCTCACACACACGCCTTGCAATCCCCCGTGTGTATGTGTGTATCAGTCCTATGTCCGCACCCGTCAGCGGCATCGCACCCTGCACGCCCGAGGCAGCCGGAGCCGCGCTAAGGCCGCCATCCGCCACTGGCACCAATACACGCAAGTGCGGCAGCACACCAGGCACGCCGCACTGGTGGCCCTGTCGCACTTCCTAACCCACCTGGCGCGCAAGACCCTGGCGCGGTGGTACGGCTGGTATGGCGACAGGAAGCGCCTCACGGACCTCACGGCCATTGGCAGCAGGTGAGTGAGCTGGGGGGAGGGGGACAGAGGAAAGGCATGTGGGTGGGTGGTGCATCCGTGTCTCTCTGTCTGTGTGTGTTGTGTGTGTGCAGTGTGGTGCTGCGTGTGCGTCTGCGGCATTGGTGGTCGGAGTGCCGCACTCGCCGGATGCACAGGCACGCCCACAACACACTCGTCAAGCACACAACCGCCAACAATGCCAGAAAGGTGACCGACCGAGCTACTCACTCACTCACTGATGGCTCACTTGAGGAAACATAACATACATTTGCTGGGGTGCGTTCACGTTTGTGTGTATGTGTGTGTTGTGCAGTCGCTGCAGCAGTGGGTGTGGTGGACTCGGCGACGGCAGCTCTACAGGCGGGTAGGCAACCCAAGCAGACCCCATCTCTCACACACAACCACACACAGACATACATACGCTCTCTGTCCGTATTTCCGTGTGTGTAATCAATGTATCAATTAGCTGGGCATACTGTCTGACGAGAAGCTGCTCGCCATCGCAGTCGCAGCGTGGGCACAACAGACACGCACCAGGGCACAGGTACCTTAGTTACATGGACATCGATCAGACAGAACGCCCCACGTACCATCCACGCCATGGACGTCTGTCTGTCTGTCTGTCTGTGTGCCTTGCTTCAGTTGCGTCGGAAGGCGTCGTCCTTCATAGCTGCTCGGCTGCCACACCTCAAGGCGGCCGTGGTCGGCGAGTGGCGGGCCTGGACACAACGAAAGACGAGAAACAAACAGGTCAGCCCACCCAGACACACACGCACACACACACACAGAGAGAGAGAGAGATGTAAATACTAGCTTCTGTCTTGGCCCCTTTTCATAGATCCTCCGCCGCCGTGCATCGTCGACGGTGGTAGCCTATTTCGCTATGTGGCGTCACTTCACAGCCATGCAGCTCAAGTGCGCCCAGCTCACCGACGTGCACTACGCACACCAGCTGCAGAGGAGATGCTTCGACGCCATGCACCTCCACGCCCTCCACTCAAGGCGCATCCAACAGGACGCACAGCGATCCTTTGCACACATGCAGCAACGCAAGGTCAGCCCCTACACACACACCCAACGATTTCTGGCGAAATGTCTGGATGGATCAATGAATGTATCAGGTGTTGCGCACACGGACGCACCACTGGCAGGGCTGGGCGGCGCGGCACCGCCGTCGGCGTCGCTCGACGGACGAGGCGCGTCGGATGGCGTCGGAGCACTGCTTGCGGCACATATGGGGCGTCTGGGTGCAGTATGTCCGCATGTCCAAAGACCACCAGAGGCTCCTCCAGGTAACTGGAGCGGAGATGCAGTGGAGGGGAGATGCAGTTTCTGGCAGAGGGATTGGATTGGTGGGTGTCATGTCATGTGTGCAGGTGGTGAGTCAGTTCCACCGGGAGGATCGGCTGCGTCGCATATGGCGTGCCTGGCAGGCCATGACACACGACAGGCAGCGACTGAGGTACCTGCTGACCAGGCGACTCGCAATGAACCGCACTTGCGCCATGCAGGACGCCCTCCACAAGTGAGGCCACAGCAGCCCAGCCCCCATCGAATCGACGGATGACTGACGCATCCATCCATCCACTCGCTATGTGTGTATCGTATCATGGCATTCAGGTTGTGCGGCGTGGGCAGGAAGCTGCGTGCGCTCCATTTCCTGGACCGGCATGCCGCCGACCATCTGTGGCTGGACCGGCTGGGGTGGCTGCAGGCCATGCGGCGCAACCCGACACTGCAAATCATGTGGGGGCGGATCAAGAAACAGGTGCATGGAATGGAATGGAACAGCACGCACCCAATGGCCTCCTTCATTCCATCCATGGCATGGGTGTGTCGTTCCTGCTCGGGTCTTTGTGTCAGGACGAGCCTCGTGGGGTGTCTAACGCTCGTGGTGGTGGTGTGGGTTTCCCCCCGCTGGGAGTGTTGATGGACGTGGCCTGGTGGCGTGAACAGATGCAGGACTCCATCATGCGCTGGAGGAGGGCCGCAAGGAACATGCACAGGGGACGATACTCTGACGCACCGGAGAGGTAACAACGAGTGGGTGACACACTGGGGACGGAGCGGACTTGGATATATATAGTTATGTGTGTGTATGTGGTCCACTGGCCGTGTGTGCATATCATACAGGTGGCCTCTGTGTCGCTGGAAGGCGAGTGAGGCAGTGCTGCGGATGGACAGCCCCAAGTGGAACAAAGCCAGGACAAGACTCGAAAATCTTCTGCAAGACGTAAGGCCACAGCACACACCGCACACGGCATGGAATGCAAGTGTATCTATCTATCTCTGCGTGGATGGGTGTAGGTTGGTTCCGTCCTGGCCCCTGGCAGCTCCGACCAGCTGTTCCTGGCCCTCCGGTCAGCGGCCGCCCGGCTGCAATCCCCCACATTCTCACACCCCAGACCCCACGCCCCATCAGTCGCAGCTGCTGCAGCAGCTGCGTCGCCATCGAGAAGGCCCCCCGATCACTTTGACCCGGACTGGTGTGACGTGCTGCCCCCCTCCCTCCGGCACTCCCCCTCCTCGCCCTCCTCACCCGTGCTCATCGGCCTGTCGCTCTCGGACCACCTCTCCAAGACAGTCATCAACACACTCGCTGACTTCGTCTTGGTCTATCTGCCCGTCTGGGTGACTCACCTGGAGCGTCAGGTGAGGGGCGAGGGCCCCCAGGAGGTGTCCAGGGGCAGCCTCGGCATCGTCAGCAAGTCGGCCGGGCCGGCAGCTCGACCAGCATCATCTGTCCCCTTCCACCCGGCGAGCTTCGATGACGGGTGTGACGACACTACCGCCTTTGCGACGGAGGCCATGTCGCGCAACATCACCGACATGTCCACCATGATGGCGGCCTCGCAACACGCAGAGGCGGCTCAGTCCACCCTGGCAGCTGTGGCAGCTCGGTCCACCAATGTCCGATCGGCCGACAGTGTGCAGCCTCGCCCAGGCCCCGGTCAGCATTTGCAGAGGAGCGCGTCAGCCCAGCGCTCGTACCCGAGCCATCGTAGTCGGCGTGAATATCGGAGGGAGCCGATGCCGTTGCCGCCGATATCGCAGCTGCCGAGGCAGCATCAGCATCGACAGAATGGCGCAGGCGGTCTGAGGGATGACCAGTGGTCATAGGGAGGTAGATGTGGGCTGATGGTCGGGATTGTTTGTAAGGTGGGGTGGGGGATGTGGGCGGTTTCTGCTTCTGACGCGGTCACTTGGGATTTGACTACCGTAGCAAGCGTGTACAGAAAGATGGCTTCGACAGCTTCTGTGGTGTTTCGTCGACAAATGTTGGTGGGTGCATTCATTCATTCGACTGACAGATACGTCCATCCATGAGTGCATCACATGTCCATCCGCATACACACATTGACGACAGACAGACAGACAGACATGCATTCATACGTAGAAGTACCCAGCAGGCGGAGATACGCCTCCTGAACTCATCCTGGGATAAGTCCACAGATCCAAGCATCCTTGGAGGCTTTCAGCTGACTTGTCGGGATGGCGTGACGGGTGGGAAGTCAGCTGTGGTCAATTCGACAAGCGAAACGTGGCCTCAGTGCCTTTCCGCGTGAATTTGACCGCCGTGTCGAGAATTCTCGCCGGGGACAGAGACGATGTAATCTATCAGATTTGCCACACAGTTTGTGCTGTTTTTCTCCTCCATCTCTGCCCCTTTTCACCTGTTCTCTTCGCCAGCCGCCCTCCCACAAGATCCACGCTGGCGCCACGTTTTACTTTTATTTAGCTTCTTGGCGTTCAAGCCGTCGTGAGGGCCGTCGTCGTCCAGAACGGCACTGCTGACATGGCCGTCGTCGTCCAGAACGGCACTGCTGACGAGATCGCTGTCGAGGAAATGCAGGAGTGGCTTTCTGACAATGCGGCCGCCGAAGCCGAGGCGAAGGAGGGCAGCAGGGGCAATAAGGAGCACTGCACAAAGGCACTCGACAGCATCAGGTGGGTGCGCCGGTGGGTCTTCGTGGACAGACACGTTTACACACTCCCATCTCTGTCTGTCTGTCTCCTGTCAGCCGCATCGTGGGCCGCCGGCTGCTGCAGCACTCTCACAGCCGGCTGTGTGGTAGAGCACCACACGGCCACCGTGTCCGCCTTAGTGCACCGTTTGTCTGGTGTGCGTATGGAGCCGCCTCCTGGTTGGCAGCTGACCGTCAGCGGCACCTTCTTGCAGTACGCCCAGCGGCCTGCCACTCGCCTGAGGAGCCTCTCCGCGCCACCCCATGGCCACCATGGTAGATCACTCACCGTGGTGCAACATCACGTTCATCGTTTCCCTTATTTCTCTCTCGTGTAGGCTCACCCCCCACACCCATCCCAGTCCAGCAGCTGCAGCAGCAAGGGCAGCAGGATGTGGCGGGGGTGCAGAGGAACAAGTCTCATTCTGGCGTGAGGAACAGGGGGATTGATGGGGGCAGGCAGAGGGAGAGGAGGCCCAAGCCCGACAGCGGAGAGGGCTCTGCCAACGAGGCAGCGGCCAAGACGGCCCGTCCCCCAAAGGTCAAGCAGGCCACCCTATCGCTTGGCAAGGGCAAGGCCACCCCACCGGCCGACAGCAACACCCCCCAATCGGCCAAGGCTCCTGACAGGGCCGTCGTCGTCCAGAACGGCACTGCTGACGAGATCGCTGTCGAGGAAATGCAGGAGCGGCTTTCTGACAATGCGGCCGCCGAAGCCGAGGCGAAGGAGGGCAGCAGGGGCAATAAGGAGCACTGCACAAAGGCACTCGACAGCATCAGGTGGGTGCGCCGGTGGGTCTTCGTGGACAGACACGTTTACACACTCCCATCTGTCTGTCTGTCTGTCTGCGTCAGCCGCATCGTGAGCCGCCGGCTGCTGCAGCACTCACACAGCCTGCGTCCCGTGCAGACATCGCCAAGGTGTGTCATTGACATACCTCCCTCCTCCAGCCCCTTCAATGCATTCTCTCTTGTGCGCGCGGCAGGCTCCTCCGTGTTCTTTGAGGCACCGCCAACCAAGCATTCGGATTGACTTGCTTAGACACGTATGTGTGTGTGTGTGCGCGCATCTGTTGATTGAATGCACAGGTGCCAATTTTGATGGCTTTGGCCGAAGAGGAGGAGAGAATACTGGTGGTGCTTCCTCGGAGAGTGGCCGTCTCCAACGTGGCAGAGTAGGCAAGCGTGGGAGCACGATTGCGCACCTGTGTATGTGTTTGTGTATGTGTACACCCATCCCAGTGCCTCCCCAACCAAAGCCGAAGCCCACACAATCAGGAAGATACGGGAAGGAGTGTGTCAGGGAAAAGCGACGCCGCACGGTACGCACCAGATTCATCGACCAAACTTGCGCTGCAGAGGGTCGACACTCGTTCGCAATACTGTCGTGAGTACCCAATGTTCGTGTCGACTGGCATCCTGTCGTGCCCGTAGGCAATCGTTGCCTACATTTTATATCCATGGACGTATTTGCTGAGCCGCCGCCGCAACACCAGGAGGGAAAGGAATGACGGCACGTGTCTTCGTGGCGCTGCTCGCAACCCGACCAACACGTTCAGGTGAGTCAGTCAGTCACCCAGTCAGTCATCACACGCACCAGCCACCTTCTCTGTCTACGTCTCTGTTGGTTGGTGTCAATGTGTTGTTGGCTGCCTGGCTGCCTGCTGCAGGAAGGGCCTCCGACAAGACGGCTGCGGCTGGACAAGGAGGCCGCCAAGAGGTTCATTACATTTCACCTCCCCGCACTGAGATAAGGAAGGCGACACACACACATAACGTATGTGTGTATGTATGCCTTGGTCAATCCACATAAATTATATCTCTGACGTGGATGCACACCAGAAGGGGTCGGCATTCAGAGCCAGCGGCCGCCGACTCGGCCGAGAGAGTGTTCTTAGGGAGCTGGTGGAGGCGGCCAAGAGGCATCTCTTCGACTACAACGACGCTGAGCGCGAGAAGATTTGGCGACTGCGGGGAGCCATCAGCAGCATACAAGACAAACGAAAGGCACACATGCAATGAAGGTATGGCTGTTCATGTCTGTTGTGTGTGTAGCACGAGTTGAACGCCCTACTCGTCAGCCCCAGTGCGAGAGGTGCGGTGTGGTTGGAGATCGCCTTGGAGAAGGAGCGGGCCAAGACCATGCTGCTCGAGTAGGTATCCATCCATCCATCCATCCAAACTTACAAACTTACAAACATACAAACATGCACACAACGCGTGTTCGTTTTTGCAGGTTCCAGCTTTCCGCCTTCCAAGAGTGCCTGTAGCGCCGCAAAGGAGCCATGTATGTGGCCCTGTCAGTGACCCTGCTGCCGCCTGGCAGGTGAGGAGGAATCCGAAGCGCACACCCTGCAGGGTCCGGTGCACTCTGCATGTGGCTTCCATGCAGTGTGGATGAGAGCCCGCTTGGGCCTGCAAGTGCAGCTGCTGCGGCGTCGTCTTGTGCGTCACATGCTGGAGTGTAATGGTGGAGTACGGCAGGCCAAATGGGGTCCATTACTTTAAGTGCCCGGCCAGCTGCGGCTGCTGCTACGATCGCAGCACGACGCGCCGCTTTCTGCTGGACACCTACGGCCACGACGTCTGCAAGAGGACCGGCATCCCTTTCGGCAAAGCCGCAGCCACAGCCACGGTCGAGACACGCGACGCAGCGGTGCAGACAGAAGACAGGGCAGGCCACATGGGGGGCGGCGAGCAGCCATCTGGCGGTAGTGATGGTGGTGGCTATCACTGGTCGAGGCCGGCCGCGCTGCTGACACCTGCGACAGCGGCAGAACTCCGCACGCAATACCCCGACCTGGTGCCCGACCAAGACAGCCGCCCCGCTGCTGCTCGACCCACCACACGCCACCACCAACGCAGGCCATCCGTCCGACCAACCCCCTTCTCGGAGTCTCACGGCGGCATGGGCAGCCCTGCCTATCGACCAGGAGCCAGCACCGTCAACCATCGACCAAGGAGCTGACGGCGGGATACCCCAGCAGCAGCCGATAACGATACCGATAATGATACCGATAAAGGCAGGGAGGGAGGGAGGGAGGGGCAGGCTTGTATTCATGGTGACTGTCTTGTGTTCATAACTGATGACTGACTGGCTGACTGGCTGATGGATGGATGGACAGCTTCATTGCAATGCGTAGCGTACGTACAGTTTGTTCTTTCGGGACGCATATTCGGTGTGTTCTGTTGGTAGGAGTTCACACGACTCACTCGGTAACCCCTCGGTGAGCAGACACGTTGGATGGACGGATGGATGGACAGGAAGAGGGGCTGATAGATACGGGGAACGTGGCAGGGAGGGCAAAGGCAGGGTGGCAGCGAGAGAGGGGTGGAGCGGCTAGGTCTGATGTGTCTGTAGATCGCTGTCTGCATTTCATATTTGTGGGACTCTCCTAGACATTCGCCCGCCAGTCCACTTCACAGATATGCATCGCAACCACGGAAGTAGGACACAAGAGAACACACGTGTCTGAGTCTCCCCGCATCCTGGCTGCATCCACCGGGAAATCGACCATCAATTATGTGCGTGCATACCATACCGGTCTCTGCCTTGCATTGTGTGTGGCACACATCAGGCAGGCCGAGACAGCTCAAGCGTCCGGCGAGTTAGTTTATGGGCGGAGAAGAACGAACACAGTGGTGCTCATATCTTGCAGGCGTTTTGCCCTCCCTGGCGATGACCGTCTGGGGGCACCGCGCATACAACGCACCGCCCTCTGGGTAACCCCCGGCCTGGGCTGCAATCAATACAACCACACACCACCCAGATGTGCATGCCAGCCACGTGCGCGTGTTGTGACGCGCACGTGTGGGTGTGTGTGTCCGCTTACGTGCTGTTTGTGGGAGGTATGGCCCGAGGACCTTGATGGAGTTGTTCAAGTGGCCCTTGTGGATGGATCACACTCAACGACGCTGTCGCCGTAACTTGGCCCAACTCACTGAGCCACACACACACACACACACACACAGAGAGAGAGAGAGAGAGAGAGAGAAACGTCCACCGATGGGTTGAGGTACCAGCTTTACCCCCTTCTCGCGAAGAACTCATCCTCAGTTGTGCCTGTAGCCAGCCGAGTGTCGTCGATAAGTCGGGCCTCGAACATACTTGTCGTCCTGCCGGCGCCGTCAACATGCCCTCCGACGTCATCAGCAGCATGACCTGAGTGCCCTCCTCCAGCCACTGGCTCAGGAAGACCATGGTAGTTGATCTGCACGTCACTGTTGTCGTCACGTGGGTGCACATCCCGGTCCCGCTGCCAATCGCCGGCCTCACACATGGCTGTACTCTGCTGAGTGGGAAGTTAATGAGTGACACACGCTGCATGGCTGCTGCCATGCCGTTTTGTGCCACCGTCGTGGCCGATGACTGAAATGCTGTCGTGAAAACGTCGATAGCGATGCCCACGGCCAAGACAACCGCCCACGGCCAAGATACAGTAGCAGGCCAGACACGTCTTCTCTCTGCATGAATGAGCTGATCTCCCGCCTCTTCGAGTGTCATTACGCACCGACGTCATCGATGACGATGAAAGTCTTCTTAGTCTTGGATGGCCGGCCATGCGGATCTCTCGGCCGCAGCGAGCAACACAAGTAAACACAAGCAAACACGGCTAGGCCCTCACGAGACCGAAAATCATTCACTTGCCTCTCTGTTGAGCGCTCTGCAATTCTCCTCCTCGCCGTATGCCTTCTCGAATCTCTGTGGGGAGCTTGCGAGCTTGTATTTCCGCAAAACAAACAGCCATAAAACGTGGGTCTAAAAGGCTGACAAAATGCTGAATTCAGCAGCATATGCGCCACGGCCGCCTTGGCGGATATCGCCGCAACATATGATACACATGCATCCTTTGCTGGGAAGGCGCTTGTCGCCATCTGCTCTTAACGACCGTCTTGCCCTCGACCGTCGTGTGGAGGAGCTGCAGGCCGATGTGCAGCGTGCCAAGCGGCTCGCAGAAGAGTTCAGGAGAAAGCTGGAGGTCAGTACTGTAACCACACACGGGCATGTGACACGCGCACAGCACACGACGAACGCATCGGCGGATGCAATGCAATGCAATGCATGCGTGTGTGTATGTGTGCAGGAGAGTTGTCACCGTTACGAGTTGGAGCGTCAGGACCTGACGACCAAGTGCGAGCGGCTGGAGCATCGCGAGAAGGACCGCATTCACGCAATCTCGGCCATGGAACAGGACCTCAGGACAGCAGCCGATAAGCAGAGGTATGTATGGATGTCGCTATAGCTATACCTGGGAGGCCACATGCATACATCCGGTATATATGTGCTGCTGGTGTGGACCGGTCGGTCAGGCAAGCTCGTCGGGAGGCTGACGTGTTCAAGGAGGAACAGAATAAGGTACGTCTGCTTTGCACTGCACGCCTGGGGGGAACAGAGATACAAGCAACATAATTTTTGTCTCCGAGCAATCAACCATGGGCGTCCGTGTGCTGCCTGCCTGCCTGCCCAACTGCCTACCTGTCTGCAGCTGACTAGGTCGATTGCGGTGTTGGAGCAGAACTATCAGGAGACGACGCGACAGCTGAAGCAGGTCAGGGCGCCGTCACACACGGATACACTCATCAGCACTATCTGCTGATGTGTGCTGTGCAGGAGCAGACGCGTCACCACGAGCAGCGGCGCCAGGCCGAGCAGCTCAAACTCGACAAAGAACGGGCCGTCGCGTCGGAGGAAAAGCTCAAGCAAGAGGTATGTAGCCCCTCTCACCAACCCACCCGCTCAGCCGACACCCGTCTGACCCATTTGGTGTGGGTTCGGTGCAATGCAGGCGGATCGTTTGAAGCGTGAGCTGACCACTGAGTTGCAGACGCTGAGCGACGAGCACCAGGCGGAGCTCAAAGAGCAGCGGCGCCAGGCCGAGCAGCTCAAACTCGACAAAGAACGGGCCGTCGCGTCAGAGGAAAAGCTCAAGCAAGAGGTATGTAACCCCTCTCACCAACCCACCCACTCAGCCGACACCCGTCTGATCCATTTGGTGTGGGTTCGGTGCAATGCAGGCGGATCGTTTGAAGCGTCAGCTGACCACTGAGTTGCAGACGCTGAGCGACGAGCACCAGGCGGAGCTCAAAGAGCAGCGGCGCCAGGC